ATATTGAGCCCACTATGCTGACCCCCACATGCTTTCATTTTTAAAAAGCAATTTACCTGAAGCCCTGCCTTAAGTCCACAGGATAGGTTACATTCCTCAGCAAACTACCTATTATTTGCAGGAGAAATACAGGCCCCAAAATGCTGATAAGAAGGAAACAAGTTATGCTGAAAGGGGAGACTTCTGTAATCCTTACACAGACCATATCCCCAAATTCAAGGAGATAAGGATAATTCCCCCAACCATAAAATCCATAAGAACAGGTTAAAATTAGAATCAGTCAGCATGGGCTAAAGTGACCTAGAATTGTCACAGCAGTGGGGACTTGAAAGTCTGATGTCATCTTCTGTTAGCTGAAAGTCTGGACATGTGTGGGACTCTCTGGAAACTTCCTTGGGACCCCAATAAAATTTGAAAAGACCCACTGTCTCCCTTGACAGTGTCCCCTTTCCTAATCCTTCTAATAAATTCATGCCTGTTACTTTGAGTGACATGTCTGAAATCTTTCTGTCATGACAGAAACAATCAGGGTGAGCCAGGCATGGTGGTCCATGCCTATAATCCCAACTGCTCCCAAGGCTGAGGCAGAAAAATCGCATGTTCAAAGTCAGCCTCAGCAACTTAGTGAGGCCCTCAGCAACTTAGTGAGACCCTGTCTCAAAATAAAATATAAAAAGGGCTGGGGCCAGGTGTGGTGGCACAGGCCTTAATCACGGCAGCTGGGGAGACTGAGGCAGGAGGATCATGAGTTCAAAGCCAGCCTCAGCAATGGCAAAGCACTAAGCAACTCAGTGAGACCCTGCCTCTAAATAAAATACAAAATAGGGATGGGGATATGGCTCAATGGTTGAATGCTCAAGTTCAATCTCTGGCACCCCAAAAAAAGGGCTAGGGATGTGGTCTCAATGGTTAAGTGCTCCTAGGTCCCAGTACCAAAAAAAAAAAAAGAATCAGGGTGAAAGGGGCCTTCACATTGCCTCACTTTCCCAGAAGTCCCCAGCATCGTAACAACTGGAGGAAAAGTAACAACAGTGGGTGATGGACATATTTTGGGGGTATTCAGCACCTTAATTGTGATAGTGGCTTTCTAGGTACATACTCATATGTCAAAACATCAAATTGTACACTTTAGATATGTGACCAGTATATCTCATTTTAGAAGCTAAGCAAGGTCAGAACTGGTTAGTACTTGGAGGAGAAATACATGTACAAGTTTTTTTGTTGTTGTTTATTTGTTTTTGGTACAGGGTCTTGCTATGTTGCCTAGACTGGACTCAAACTCCTGGGCTCAAATGATACCCCTGCCTGTCTCCTGAGTGGCTAGGACTACAGGTATCCCATCACACCTGGCTTAGACAGTATTTCTTGCACGTCAATTACACCTCAATTATACCTCAATAAAAACACAAAATAAAAAAATAAAAGGGCTGGAGTATAGCTCAGTGATGGAGTGACCTTAGGTTCAATACCATGAATAAATCTGTAGAATATGTGATCAATGGCCTGTATGAATGTGTTCAGTGCCTTGATTGTGATAGTGACTTCATTAATCATGCTTACAAAAATGACTACCTGTGAACTTATCAAATTAATCAGAAGCACATGGATGCATGGGTATATCAAACTCATACTGGAAAAACCAGACCCAGGAGCTTATCAAACATTCCAGGCCACCAAATGAAACAACCCTCTTACCCATAAAAGGAGGAGTACCCCARGATTGAGCATAGCAGTACACTCTCCCATCACCAGGTGACCCTGCCCGCTCTGGATGTTCATGACACAAGATTCTCCAGGCCTGGGTCTGACCTTCCCAACAATCCCTATCCTTCATCAGAGCATAGGGCCTGCACACAACTGTCTACTATTCCACTGCCCATGTGACAAGTACCAACTCACCTTTGGCATTTCTGCCCAGTGAAGTGCAGTAAGGGCTCCCCAAGGACACTTAATGCACCTCCATTTGGGCACCTGCACCTGTTGCTCCCTGGCTGATCCCCAGATGGCTCTCATCCATTGTACTGCCATTGATTTTTTAAAATCTGCTTCTGATAATTCCCTGAGGCAAGAGGACACCTCTGTAGCCTGGGTCCCACGTGCCCAGCACTGGGCCTGGCCCAAGGCAGACACTCAGCACGTGTTGTTTTGAATGGGTCTCAGATTGGCTCCTCCTAGAAAGCTCTGACCAAGTTCCAAAGTTTTTCCATGGCCTTTGACCCTTTAAGGGTGTCAGTCACCCCGTTTCCGTGTCTGCTCTGACCCTGTCTGCTCCCACTTTCATGCCATCTGCCTTGCCAGTCCTCAGAAGTGCCAGGAGTGTTCCCACTGGGGTCTTTGTACTTCCTTCTGCCTAAAGTCTCTTCCACATTAAACTTACTAGGTTCCTTTTTTACTGATTCAGGCCTCTGCTCAAAATATCACCTTTGTGGAGATGTCTCCCCTGACCCGAAGTAGCTTCTTCCCACCTGTCCCTCTTCCAGGCTGCTCTACTTGATCTTCGGAGTGCTTACTGCTACCTGGCTTTCAAGGAGAAGTCTCCACATCCCATGCCAAGAGAAACCAAAACTCCATCTGTGCTGAGGGCAGGGGCCTGGCGAAGCCATTTACTTCCTGCTCGTTCTGAGTAAGACAACTGGTTTAGTGTGCAGTAAGAAGGATTTAGGATAGATGGGGAATATGCCTCTGTTCTCTCAGATATCACAACAGTGATCACTCTGTCAGATGGTCTGTCTTCCTCATCACAGGGTTGATCAGTAAGGTCTGGTTTGTCTGTTATTTCCACCATGGGTCTGGAACTAATGAACAGATAACTAACTGCTGAGAATAAATGAATGGATTGGAGTCAATCCATTCATCCAGCAAATGCTTATTGAGCAACCACTATGTCTCCCGCACTTTTTAGGGTGCTGGGCCTACAAAGTGACAGTCTCTGACCTCACACTTTAGTTGGAGACACAAGTAATTACACTGTTGAGAGAAGCAATCTGCTATGGTTCCTGAGAATCCCTGCATGTTTCTTGCTTGGTATGCCAAGAAAGCAAGATCCTGATAGCTGTTTAAACAGGTCATTTCTTAGGGTTGTGTTCGAAGAAAAAGAACCCTTAAAGGATGAGGTGCTCTCCTTGGACAAAGAACAGGAATGCCTACCACTTACTGTCAGAATCCATGAAATAGTAATGCATTACTTTGTTATTTTGTAAGTGGGATAACACCTCAGCTACAGGGAAGTTTTAGACAATGACATGTGAAGTGGAGATTAGCACTACAGAGAAAATAGAGAAGAAAAAAAAAAAAGAGGGATTGTGGGGATGAGGATGTAGTGGTGAGTACTTGCCTAGCATGCAAAGTAGCTGAGTGGTAGAGCACTTGCCTAGTATGTGTGAGGCCCTGGGTTCAATTCCAAACACTGAACAAAACAAAAGGAGGGGGGATAAAGAGTATGGAGGGGCTGCTGTTTTGCAATTTTCTTTCTTTCAGATCTGGGGATTGAACCCACAGTCTAATGTTTGCTAGGCAAGTGCTTTACCACTAAGCTACAACCCAGCCCRTGTGACTTACAATTTTAAATAAGGTCTTTATGAAAGGCCTTTCTGTTAAGATTAAATTGAAGCAGAAATATAAATAAAATAAGGCTGAGAGGCAAACCATGTGACTACTGGGGAGAAGGGCATTTCAGCCAAAAGGAACAGCAGAGACAATAGTCCTGAGGTAGGAGGTGACCTGGAATGTTTGAGGAACGGCATAGTGACTGGCATAGTGACTGGTGTGGTTGGGAAGACGTGTTGGAAGGAAAAGAGCAGAAGATGAGATCAGGGAGATTGTCAGGGACCAGAACACAATGGGCCTGGGAGGTCATTTCAGGAGTTGGCAGCACCAAGTGAGATGCCTACCATTGGGGCAAGGTTTGATCAGTGATCTGTCCATTTTAAAAGGGTGACTGCAGCTTGGAGAACAGATGGCAGCCCTGGGGATCTGAGTGAAAGCAGAATGCCTGTGAGAACGTGTTACAACAGTCCCAGCACAGACGACGGATGAGTGACTCCGTGCTGGTCATGGCAGAAGAAGTATTGAGAAGTGGTCAATTTCAGATATATTTTAAGATTAGAATCAAAAAAATTGTTTTCRGATTGAACAAGGGGAGTGAAGAAGAGTCAAGAGTGACCCCTAGCTTTAGTTCTGAGCAACCACAGGAACGGAGTCAGCTGAGATGGAAAAGGCATAGGAGGAGCAGGTCTGGAAGGAGTCAAGAGTGCCTTCAACAAGCACGAATGAACAAAAGTGAACAAAAGGCCTGTCCAGAGCCTTAGATACCTGGGACCAAAGAGGGACCCTTAGAAAAGAAGGTAGCGCGCCAGTAACCCCAGCGGATGGCGARTTCAAAGCCAGCCTCAGCAAAAGCGAGATGCTAAGCGACTCAGTGAGACCCTGTCATTAAATAAAATACAAAATAGGGCTGGGGATGTGGCTCAGTGGTCGAGTGCCCCTAAATTCAATCCTAGGTACCAAAAAAAAAAAAAAAAAAAAAGGAGGTAGTGGTTCCTTTAAGAATGCCCCGCCCCTCCCCGCGAAGCCCCGCCCAGAGAGGACCACGTGTTTCCCCGCCACGAATTAACGGAGAATCTCAGCACGTTTTGAAAGTTCCGCGCGCAAAGCGAAAAGGGCATTTCGGCTGCGATCGAGATGTCGGTGTTAAGGCCTCTGGACAAGCTGCCCGGCCTAAACATGGCCACCGTCTTGGTAGGTGTCGGCGAGGGGGACTCGCCCACCCGTTTCCCTRCTGGGCCTTCCTCCCGTGACTGCCGGGAGCCCCCTGGCTTCTGCGCTCTCTGATCCGGGCGCGCGGTATTCCTCGCTGTAGGCGGGARAGCAGTGCTCTGAGCCAATCGGAGTAGCCGCTCTCCGAGACTGAGGGACACCTGGACCAATCGATGCGCGGCGTAGTCTTTCCCAGCTTATGATTGGTGGGGCGRGTGGGCGGGTACCCGGACGCCGGGTAGAGCCCCTTGCTGGTTCTTGCTTTCACTCAACCTAGGCTCTGGCCTCAGGTAGAGGTCCGGCGGTCGGAGGGACTGTGGGAGTGGGCAGTAGGTGCGGTGCCCACAGACCTGGAGCTGGCCTAAATTTCAGACCCCTTGCAGGGACCCATCTCTTAGGAAATGGTCCCCTCCGAGCTACCTTCGGGCTGTGGCCTGATCCCCCAGGGAGGGGTTCACCGAGCCGGGTTCAGCGGAGGAATTGTCCTGCCCAGGTCTCACCCCGATTGCTTTCTCTCCCTGGGCAGCTGGTGGGCTCGGAGGATGCTCTCCTGCAACAGCTGGCGGACTCGATGCTCAAAGAGGACTGCGCGTCTGAGCTAAGGGTGTAAGTAGCTGAGGCTCTGCGGAAGCTCTGGCTGGGAAAGAGGGAGAGGAAAGGGAGCCTCGGAGGGGGCTCCCAGCCGCCTGTAGTCCTCATTGAGCCTGCCTTCCTCCCGAAGCTGGCTCCTCACGTCTTTACCTCGCTTGTTCACACCTTGCACAGGACCCACTTGAGCACCCCGTCCATCACTCTCTGTCGCAACACTTGTTGCTTTGCTCTTAGTACCTGTCAACATAAAGGATCTCCTGGCCACCTGTTGGTTCACTTGTCTGCCACCCCCATGGACCTTGAGCAGCAACTTGCACGGAGTAGATGCTCAATTAATAATTGCTGAATTAATCGGGTTAATTCAAGTTTCAAGAAAGATTTCCAGGGCGCGGTTGTGCACACCTGTAATCCCAGCCAATCTGGAGGCTGAAGCGGGAGAATCCAAAGCTAAACACCAGTCTGAGCAACTTAGAACCTGTCTCAAATTTTAAAATTTTTTAATAAAGGGAAGAAGATGTAGTTCAGTGGATTCAATCCCTAGGAGGGAGGGAGGGAGGGAGGAAGGAAGGAAGAAAATTTTGAAGGGTAGGGAATGCTACAAATTATGAGGGTAGTGAAATAGAAGGTAAGAAGCTGAACCATAAAATTATCTTCTCCAAAAAAACCTAATGAAATGAATTGAAAATTAGCAAAAATGAGCAAACTTAACAGGCTGAAAATTGTCATGTTTTGTCTGCTAACCCTGCTACTCCCACAACAAAATTATCAAAATTCTTTAGTACCCCAAGTTTGGAGAAAAGGTTACTAAAGAAATTCATTTTTGTTTCCTTTTTCTAACTGGAAGGAAGCAGAAACAGCTGCTGTTTACATCAAGTGACTGAAAATGTGTGTCATTCTCCCTGATAGAAAGATAAGGCCCAGTGATCTGTGTTGAAGGAAAATGGTTCAGATCCAGAAGGTAATTCCTCAGTGGGAACTGGAATGTCTTTTATGGGCAAAATAAACCCTGCAACAGCACTTTCAAAAATCTCTGATGAGGGAGTATGATCTTTTCCCTCTGAATAGATTGTTTACAGGTCTGTCTGTGCATCTCACCAAGCTTTTCACTACAGAACATTAAATACAGCAACCCACAATCTCAAATGGAAAAGGAATTTTTTTTTTTTTTTTTGGTACCAGGGGTTGAACCCAGGACCACTTAACCAGCGAGCCACATTCCCAGCCCTTTTTTATATTTTATTTTGAGGCAGGGTCTCGCTAAGTTGCTTAGGGCATTGCTAAGTTGCTGAGGCTGGCTTTGAACTTGAGATCCCCCTGCCTCAGCCTCCCAAGATGCTGGAATTACTGGTGTRCAACACTGCACCTGCTGGAAAAGGATTTTTTTAAATGCATTTACCCAGAGGCTGGAGTTGTAGCTCAGTGGTAGAGGACTTGCCTAGCAGGTGTGAAGCAAGTTTGATTCTCAGCACTGCATATAAATAAATACATAAAGGTCTATCAACAACTTAAAAATATATTTTAAAAAAATTCATTTAGCCTGGTGTGGTGATATGCACCTGTGATCCCAACTACCTGAGAGGCTGAGGCAGGAGGATTGTTTGAGCCCAGGAATTCAAGGCCAGCCTGGGCAATATAGAGAGCTCTGAGTCTGAAAAAATAAACAAAAATAAAAATCCATTTAATTATTATCAGGGTAAATGGAAAAATACAGTAAAAAGAATCTCCTACATTTAATAAGAACAAGTGGAAAAAGGTCATGAGAATCATGGGGGCGGGGCAAGTAACATGGCATACAAATATCCATGAGGAACCCACTCTGGAAAAAATACAGGAAAAGGAGTCGGGCACAGTGGTGCACACCTGTAATCCTAGCAGCTCGGGGGCTGAGGCAGGAGGGTTGTGAGTTGAAAACCAGCCTCAGCAACAATGAGGAGCTAAGCAACTCAGTGAGAACCTGTCTCAAAAAAAATACAAAATAGTGCTGGGGATGTGGCTCAGTGGTTGAGTGCCCCTGGGCTCAATCCCCAGTACACCCTCCCCCCCTCAAAAAAAATACAAGAAAATGAAAATAAAATTCCCCTTTTAGTGCTCTGGACAATTGAAAAATTTAATAATAAAATTAATTTTTTAAAGAAATATTCATTTGGGTGCTATGGCACACACCTATAATCTCAGGACCTCAGGAGTCTGAAGCAGGAGGATCTCAAATTCAAGACCATCCTAGGCAACTTAGACCCTGTCTCAAAAATACAAAGAGCTGGGGATGTAGCTTAGTCATGCCCCAAGGATTGATCCTCTGAACCACCAAAAAGAAAAAAAAAGAAAAGAAAGAAACATACATATACTAATTGGAAAAACAACAGAAAGAGGAACTGGGAAGCTGAGGAGCTAAGAGTTAAAAAAGGGCCAAAAAATGATACTGTTTGATCTAGCTAATGAATACCTGGAGACAGGATCCGAGTAGATTTACAAAGAAGAAAGGTTTGAGAAAACTAGCAAAAGCATCGAACCATATAACAGTATTTTCTGAAATGAATGAAAAGTTGAATTTGTCCATTAAGAGGGTGATGTATTCTTGTTACAGGTAAAATGGATGTAGAATACAGAATACTTGACGTCAATTATATCCTAGTTACGTTATCAAACTCAAAGAGTAAATAATTCTTCAGACTTTTAGGCTAGAAAAGCAAATCACYGGGACTGGGATTGTGGCTCAGTGGCAGAGAGCTTGCCTCGCATATGTGAGGCACTGGGTTTGATCCTCAGCACCACATAAAAATAAAATAAAGATGTTGTGTCCACCGAAAACTAAAAAACAAATATTAAAAAATTCTCTCTCTCTCAAAAAAAAAAAGAAAAAGAAAGAAAATCATCTGTATAGTCATCTATTCACACTGTTGCCACATATTTCCAGTTCTCAGTGTTTGCAGCCCGTGGCAGTAATTAAGATTGTACTTCTTGTCTCATGTGGTTGTGGGGAACTGTGTGACTGGTTCTGGCCAATGAGATGTGCACAAAAATGATTGTCTCTTCAATACTGCAGAATTTAATTGCTAGTACAAGAATTCCCCTGGCCCTTTGCCTCCCCATCACGACCAGCAATGTTCCAAAGTGGCAGCTTCATCAGCCTGGGTCCAGACTTAGAGCAAAATATAGGTGTATGTAGTAACTAATAACAGTGATATCGAGGCATAAATATGCATTCATAATGTCCAAATGGTAGGATAAGATGTAAGAATGTTAATTTTCTCACTTTCCATAATAGAGAATCAATCCAATATAGATAAAATTGAAACAGTTTAAAATGGTGGCAATTAGCCCAGCACAGTGGCATTCACCTATAATCCCAGTGACCTAGGAGGCCAAGGTAGGAGGATGGCAAATGGCAAATTTGAGGCCAGCCTGGGCAACTTGGCAAGACCCCGTCTCAAAATAAAAGGGCTTGTGTTATAGCTCAGTGGTAAAGTGTCCCCRGGTTCAATCCTCAGCTGCCTCCCCCCACTTTCGCCCTGACAAATGATGTCAGCTTCTTATTTTTCTTCACAGCCTGTTTTTATTTACTTATTGTTTTATTTTGCAGCAATGGGGATACAAGTTAGGGCCTTGCATCCTACTATGCTAGGCAAGTATTCTGCCCCTGAGCCACATCCTCAGTTGCAGACTCTTTGATTCAGCTCTTTTAGGGAACGGTCTCTTTTGATTAAAGAAATAGCCTCTCCAAAGTTCATCTACTTTTTTCATTTCTGCTTGTTTTTTGCTTCTGTTCAATTCAAGTTAAATGAATGCTATTATTCCATTTTTAGATTATATCTACACTGTTGTCTATATACATTACGTAGACATGTTTGCCAAAATGTTCAAGTACTAATTTCTAGGTGACTGACTTCAGGGTACATGTGAATATTTTAAACTTGTATTTTTTGTGCTTTTTGCTTTTCTCCATTTTCTAAATTATAGTCTGGTGAAGGGTGAAATGGGTAATAGAAATATGTGGAAATGGGCAAAAGTAGAGACTTCAAGAAAAACCTTCAGGGCAGTGGGCACAGCTCATTGGTGGAGCACTTGCCCAGCATGCTCTTGGCCCTGAGCTCCTTCCCCAGCAGCAAAAACGAAACCCAGAGACCGAGCCCAGATGTAAATTACTTGCCCAGGATCACATTAGCTTGGCAATTGACAGAACTAGGACTTGTGCCCACATCTGCCTCAAAAGGGGTTCAGTCTTAACCTCCTAAACTTTATAGCCCAACAATCTCTTCTTCTGAGACTGGTCTCCCTCAAGACACAGTGACCTCCCAAGCCCTGCACCATGTGCCATGTAGCTTAGCAGGTCTTTCACCATGGTGCTTACTAAACAGATCTCTTTTCTAGCATGCGGAATCAGGAGGGAGGTAGGTAGGACTAGATTTATCTTCCTCTCTTCCTTCGAGAAGTCTTGCCTGGCTGGGTGTGATGATGCACCCTGTAATCCCAGCAGCTCAGGAGGCTATGGTAGGAGGATCATAAGTCTGAGGCCAGCCTCACCAACTTAGTGAAACCCTGTCTCAAAATTTAAAAGTGGAAAAAAGTTTGAGGATGTGGCTCTGTGGTTGAGTGCCCTGGGTTCAGTTCCCAGTGCCAAAAAAGAGAAGTCTTGCCTGCAGAGTGTCAGGTGAATAGGTGAGGAGCCCTTGGCATCTTCTTCCCCTATGAAGGACAGCACATGACAGTCACTGTAAGTGGATATGTTTGTGTTTAATGCTCGGATTTCTTGTTTTTCAGTCACTTGGCAAAGGCCCTCCCTTTACCCTCCAATGTGAATCGGCCTCGAATCGACCTGATTGTGTTTGTGATTAACCTTCATAGCAAATACAGGTAGGAACCAGAGGACATGAGCCCTGGGGACCCGGGCCGACCTGACTGGGAGTGTGCTGGGACAGTGACATGACTTGCAATAGGCAGGGAGGAAGCAGTGAGAGGTTGGCCAGGGTCAGCGTAGAGGACAGAAGGGAGGAGCCAGTGGACAGTGCACAGTGTTTAACCCACAAATCCTACCGTGTCCTCTGTTCATTTAACCCTCTGAAAACTACTCTGTATACCCAGCGGCAGGCACAGAAACAGACAAAACAGACTGCTTTCCTCAGGTGTCCTCGTCCACTGGGAGGACACTGGACTTTTGAGAGAACAGTTAGAGTTCTGGGGACGTGGACTGTAAAGAGGCAGGAGCTGGGCTGTGGAGCCCACACAAGACCTCTGACGGCCAGGCCTTAGGTGTGGGAGGCCAAGGCAGACCTTTTGGTGGAGGTAATATCTAAATCGACACCTGAGGTCAGTCATGGTCATATCTAAATCATGGTCAGTCAGGTAATATCTAAATCGACACCTGAGGTCAGATGGGAGTGAGCCCCTCCAGGGGCATGGCTGGCCGAGGTTAGGCAGGGCAGGGTCCAGCACAGATACCTAGTGATGTGGGGGTTGAGGGAAGGCCGTGTTGGGGACACCTGGGAACCCAGGAGCACGAAGATGGCAGATATTCTAGCATTAGGAGGACGTCTAGACCTCGCAGCCAGCTCCTTGGAACTAGTCAGCATGGGAGAAAAGAAGGAGTTGAGAACTAGCATGGTTACCTTCTAACGGGGAAGGATGGGAGGCCACCTAACTGCTCATCACTGGGAAGGTAGGACGTGGTGCGCTGTGTGCTCACGCTGAAGGACCTAGCAGTTCCATGCATTTGTATGAGTCGGTGTTGTATCACTGCAGCAAACGCCCAAGACAGTTCCAGGCCCAGGGTACACACCTGTATTCCCGGCTACTTGGGAGGCTGAGGCAAGAGAATCACAAATTCAAGGCCAAACTAGGCAATTTAGCAAGACCCTGTCATAAAATAAAAGGGCCAGGGATGGAGCTCAGTGACGGAGCTCTTGGCCCTTAGTTGCATCCCCACTACTGCAAAAAGAAAGGGAGGGAGGAGGGAAGGGAGGTTATTTTGCCTCAGTTCTATAGGTCCAAGCTTGAGGGACCACGTCTGGTGATGGCCTTCTTGATGGCAGAGTCCCGAGGACTGGCCAGAGAAAGGGAGCACATGTGTGTCTGCCTGGTCTCTCTCTCTCTTATGAAAGCACCAGGATTCAATCTCAGGACCTCATCTGCCCACCTTGTCTAATCCTAATCCCTTCCTAAGCCTCACCTAACACCATGGCCACATGAAGTCTTAGGGACGCTCGCAAACAATATCCCAATGATAGTTCAGCAGCACTGATGGGAGTTTGATGCTGGTTCACACCACCATAACGCACCTGGAGCATTCCGAAGGGGCGACACCCCAAACTGATGGCAGCAGTTCCCTCCGGGGAGTTGGGCTGAAGGGCAGCGCTGAGCCAGGGGACCTGATGGTCTCTGCGTGCATCTGTGTTACCAACTGACGATTTCACAAGTGGGAGTCACTTTTTAAAAAGTAGTCATAACTAAAGGACCGAGTATTCCTCCAGGCTGTTTTCCTGTGCCCCTCCCCTTGTTCTCTGACCTTAGACCAGAGAAGCAGGGGCTCTGCTGTCTCCATTGTGAAGTTTGTCCTCCTCTGGTTTGTTTTCTTGCCCTGGCCTGGCCACCCCAGTCTGCAGCACGTGGAGGAGTCGCTGCACCATGTGGACGCCAGCTTCTTCCTGGGGAGGGTGTGCTTCCTCGGCACTGGTGGTAAGTGCGCCCCTTGCCTGCCGCCCGCCCCGAGAGAAAGCGGGCAGTCAAGGGTCCTTGCCAGGGCAGCCCGGCTGATGACTTGAGGACCTGGCTGCTGTCAGTCTTTCTAACAGTGAATCTGAGCAGATAGTTCTGTGGCGCTCGCAGCTGCCTGCTGGCTTCCTGCAGCTTTCAGAGTGAAATCCAGACTCCTCTAAAGTCACAAAGTATTTTGCAGTTTGGCCTCTGCCTTGTCRAGTGTCACCTCCTATTACCCTCATTCTCTGAAAAAGTCCTGCTGTTGCTGAGACGTTGCGATATTAACAGTGCAAATGGTCATAGCTGACCTTTATTGGGCTCTTCCCAGGCCCAAGACTATTGTAGGTGCTTAGTTTCTTATCATTAATCTTTGAGCATTAATCGCAGTATTATCTGTTTTATAACTAAGAAAACTGGCCACGCCCAAGGTCCTGTAGCACTGTGGTGGCGCAGCTGAGAGTCACGTGGGCGACAGTCCTAGTCAGGGCCCATCCCCTCTGTCTACGTCGGGGTTCTCTCAAGTGCTTTGTTCTCCTTGTCTTATTAGTCCCTACGGATACCTCAAAACTGAGTTCTGGCGTCCCCTCTGGCACCAGGGACATGTGTGACCTGAACTGTGAGGGGAGTGCTTGGCACAGATCATTCTCAATAAGCTTTGAAGAAGGAACCAGTTCCCCGGGAGCCCTGGCTCTGGGCGCTGACTCCACCTGACAGGGCTCTCACTCCGCTCATCTCATAAGTGGGAACCGTGTGTTAATAGAACGCTCTCTCCCAGCCCTTTGAGCTAATTTGATGGTGGAACAGGTTGTCACCCACTGACCAGTTCAGAACTGACACCCGAGGGCTGGTAGCGACCGTGCCCAGGTCTTGCTGGGCACCGCCTTAGTGCTCTCTGCTTCTTTGCAGCTGGGCAGGAGCACCACTGCAGCCTTCACCGGAACACGGTCCTGAAGCTGGCCCACACCTACCGCAGCCCCCTGTTCTTCTGTGACCTGGAGGTGAGGACACTTTCCACAGTGGCCAGTGTTACGCTTTGTTGCGGGGAAGGGGCTGTCAGGACTGCTTATTGCAGGATCAAGTACCAGGTGAGGTGGCCCCTGAGTGTAGGGGGACATGAGTCCTGCCTTTTCTGCTCACTGGCGTGACCTCTAGGTACAGTGGAAAATGGGTTGGATGCCGTCTCTGTGGCTTGTAGCCAGGCTTTCCCTTTTCTTAGTTTCTCTGTACTTGTCTTGTTTGTGGATTTGTGGGTCCTCATTAATATCTCGCTCTTCTGCTAATGAGAGCAGGTGCCAGATTGCTCCTTAACCACTGCATGCTTCTTGACAGTCACAATGCCCAGTGTCACCCTTGTCTCCCCTGATTGCAGACCCTGTCCAGTCCCAGTAAAGGCAGGGCACCAGCAGGCTGCAGCAGGTTTGCCGAGTGGGCGGGCGTGAGGCAGAAGGGGTCCATGTGGCAGGAGGGGTCCATGTGGTATCGGCTTGCTTCCAATGGGTCTCTCGCAGGGGATCCCAAGTGCAGGGAGCAAGCCGCATTTCCCCTTCACTGATACATTTGCCCTTCAGCCTCTCACGGGTGTGGAGTCGGTGTGCTCCCTCTGCTGGGTGTGTGTAGGGCCAGCAGGGCCTACACTGCACCCGGCCCATGCACCAAGACTGTTCTGTTGCTTGGGGATCTCTTCCTGAGATTTGAGGTTCATTATGAAGATTCATGTTTTTTCTGTGTTCCTGGGCTGACACCTTTGGATGGGATGCAGAGAAAACCGAGTGCTCAAGCACCTTCCCCAGCATCTAGCCCAGGGGTCTGCAAACCCYTCTGCTTTGGTGGCAGAATTCAGGTGATCTGGGAACTTGGAGAGAGGGGAAAAGCTTCTTTTTCCCTCTGCTGACTTCTGAGTGAAATCGAGCCCCTTGGATGTAGGGAAGAGCGTGAGTAGGAGTAGCAAAGTCTGTGACAACCAGTAGACGCATCGCTGTCTCCCTGTTACTTCAGGAGTGGGCAGGCCTAGCTGTTGGGCCTGCCCTGCTCCGCCCTAGACCAGTGCAGTGGCAAGGGTACATACTCCTCTCTCACAAACTTGGTTTTCTGTTTGACAACTATTTTTAGGACCCTGACTAGGTCAAGGCTCTGACCTCTCAGATGGGACCATGGCCCCTGCACACCTGCAGTGTCTCCCCTGCAGACTTCCCTCCCAGCAAAGCTCTGAGGAAACTGAGACTGAGAATAGGCTCCTGCTCACAGGCACAGAGCTGGGAAGTTGGCAAGCCAGTTAGCACACAGCTGTCCCTGTCATAACCTGCTGTTGTGACTTGGAACCAGTCGCCTCCCCCAGGGAGCCTCAGTTTTCTTACCTCCATTGAGGAAGCACCTTTGACCCACAGCTCACCACACGGATGCCCTGGGTCCGCCAGCCTCCAGGCAGGTGCAGTTCTGAGTGTGGCCATGAGATGGCAGGCCACACCAGGTCTCTTCTAGCCTGAAACCAGCTGTGGCTGACTGGGTAGGAGGCAGAGGCCCCAGCCGTTTCCAGTCAGCAAAGGGGTGCAGAAGTGCCACTGACCGTCCTTCAGATGAAGCCGCAGTTTGGTCCGGCACCTCTCCACACGCCCCTGCTGTCCTTTGGAGCGCACACTTCCCATACCGGGTCCCTCGCCACGGTGTGAGGCGTGGCAGGGATTCCCAGCCCTTAAAGAGGAGGAAGCACCCAGAGAGGAGTGTGATTTGCCCAGTAGAACAAATGCCCAGGTCTACTGGTCAGGCCTGTGCGGTGCCTAACGCAGACGGTGGTCCTGCCCTCTTGATCTTGTAAGATGAAGATTCGCCGGGTTTTTGAAGCCTGGTGTAGAATTAAGTCATTTTTTCCTGTACGTCATGGGCAAAGTCGTGACTGTGGTCAGACTTTGGGTCCTTGTCTCGGTGTGATGTGTGGRTGAGAGGAGGCAGCTATGGAGCCAAGCTGTGATGGATTTGGGGGCAAAGACCACAGAACGTAGAGCAGGAGGATTTATTCCACAAATCCTTCTCGTGTATACTGCTCTAGGCCCCAGGGATGCAGCATAGAACAAAATAGTAAAGAGTCCCAGGACATGGGCTGGGGCTCTAGCTCAGTTGGTAGAGTGCTTGCCTCAGCTACTCAGGAGCCTGAGGCAAGAGGATGACCTGAGCCAGGTTTTTGAGACCAGCCTGGGCAGCCTATCAAGACCGCGTCTCAAAAAATCCTGACTCTGTTCTAGTCAAGAAAGMGGAAATGGTAAAGGGCTGGGCGTGGTGGCACACCTGTAATCCTAGTGACTCAGGAGGCAAGGCAAGAGGTTCTCAAGTTCAAATGAGAACCTGTCTCAAAATAAATAAAAAGGGCTGGGGATGTGGCTCCGTGGTAGAGCACCTCTGGGTTCGATCCCGAGTAACACACACACGCACACACATACACACAGTGGTCTGGACGTACCGGTAGCTAGGGGAGAAGAGGACAGGATGGAACATGACTGGCTGTTTCCAGAGAGGAGGTGACAAGAATGTGCTCATAACCAGATGTGAGGGAAGGTGAGTGGTAGGACAGCTCTGAAATCCATGGCCTGACCGCTGGAGGGTGGCTCTGCCTTTGACTGCGAGGGGCGAGACTGCAGGAGCAGGGCTTGGGGCCACCAGGGCCACTGCTGTGGACATGAGCCATCGGGGGGAGAAGTCCAGTCACTGCACACATGCATGTGACACTTAAAGATCCAGAGATGTAACTTGTGTATCCTCAGAAATTGGGTGTTTTTTTGTTTTTAATTTTTTTTTTAGTTATACATGGGCACAATATTTTTGTTTTGTTTATTTATTTATTTTTATATGGTGCTGAGGATTGAACCCAGGGTCTCACACATGAGAGGCGAGCTCTCTACTGCTCAACCCCAGCCCCAGCCCCAGAAATTGGGTGGTTTTAAAGCCACAGAACCAGGTGAATTGAGTGTGAGAGAAGGAAGCCAAGAACCAAGCCCCAGCTTCGGTGTTGGGCAAAGAGGAGGGAAGTGCATGGACAGTAGGTGGGTGTGGGTGGGCACCATACCAACAGCAAGGTAGAAAGGCGTTTCAAGCAGGGCTGAGAGGCCCTGGCACCTTCTGGTAGCACCAGGGCAATGAGGGTAGAGAAGTTACCACTGGGTTTTGAGCCAAGATCATGGGTGACAAACGGGGATTTGAGTTGGAGGAACTGAGGGAACTCGTCCTGAGTCTGCAGACAGGCCTGGCCAGCACCCCTTCCACTGGCCAGAGAGGCATTTCTGAGGCCAACTGTTGGCTAGGGGAGTCAGGGAGCATCATGATTTGTTCTTTATCAAACATTTACAGACAATCTTGTACTCGCCCAGCGTTCACCTGGAACCCCCTCAGCTGCCCTGGGCCCACCAGCCCTGCAGAAGCTACCCTGAGCTGCCCCCAAGTCTCATCCCCCAGCTCTGCCTGCACAGCTGCCCCGAGTGAGGGAGTAGGGCCTGCGGCCCAGTCTCTCACTGCTGCTCTCCGCTCCCTGCAGGTGGAAGACTTTCGAGCCACCATGGCACAGCGTCTGGTGCGCATGCTGCTGATCTGTGCTGGCCACGTACGTGGTGTCTCAGCCCTGAATCTGCTGTCTCTGCTGAGGACCTCCGAGACCCCTCCACCAGAGGAGCTGTGACGGCCACTGGCCCCTGGCTGTCCCTCCCCGCTTTGGGCTCCGTTAGCTGTCACTGTTGGTGAAGACACAGGCTGGGTTGGGCTCCCCATTCCCCAGCAGGGCACCGGGCAGGATGGGGAGGAAGCCCAGCTGCTGGGACTCCAGCCCCTCCAACGCCCACGCTCATCCTCTGAGGAGGTACATCTCCACTTAAGATTTCACTGGAACAAAGGGCCCTTGGCTAAAAAAAGTTTGAAGATCACTGGTCTCATCCACCACTTTGACTTTGCAAATGAGGAAAACTGACTCAGAACAATGAAGACAGGATGTGGGAGGACAGATTGGACGGCACATCCTGTGGCCTGCTACTCTTATGGAGCTTGGTTGTTGCTTCTGGGAGCCTCAGTTTCCCCAGCTATATATGGAGATATTTGTACTTAACTCACACGGAGGGTTTAATGGAGTGAAGGGGAGGTGCCTGAGACTGGGCCACACCCACACTTGTTGGCTTGATAGACCTCCTGAGACCTGGTGCTCTGCAGCAGGCAAGGGCTCAGTGAGCAGTCCCTGTTATTTGAAATCACACAACTGAATTTAAAAATTGGTGCAAGGGGCTGGGGTTGTAGCTCAGTGCCTAATACACATGAGGCACTGGGTTCGATCCTCAGTGCCACATAAAAATAAATAAATAAAATAAAGGTATTGTGTCCATCTACAACTAAAAAGGAAGGTTCAGATTTGCAAATTGAGAATTTGCCCCTGGGGCTGGGGATATGGCTCAAGCGGTAGCTCGGTCGCCTGGCATGCGTGTGGCCCAGGTTCGATCCTCAGCACCATGTACAAACAAAGATATTGTGTCCGCTGAAAACTAAAAAATAAATATTTAAAAAAAAAAAAAAAGAGAGAGAATTTGCCCCTGAGGTCAGAGGTTTATGAGAAATKAGAGTGGCCACCTGGAAGACTTTGGGCCTTCAGCAAGAGATTACACAGTGGCAGTAGCTCTGTCTCCCTCTAATCTAACTGGAAATTTGTGAAGTGCTAGGATTAGACTCCAGAAATCCTGTAGCCAGGTCAGGACTTCTGCTGCTGCAGGAAGTGGGACTGATACACAGGATCTCAAGGACCGAGGGAGGTGCCTGGCAGGAGACATCTTAGGGAGAGAGCTGGTCCTGAGCCCTCTGCACCCTCACCAGGCCTGGCCTCAGGCAGGTTCCTGCTGATGTCCTGCTTAGAGCCAGGCTCTGCCTTGTCACCAACGCAGCCATGGCCCGTGTTCTTCTGTGAAGAAGGGGCCAACTCAGAACTCCTTGTGAGTGTCCTGAGGGTGAGGCCTGCCTCCTTTCTGTAGGTACCTTCTAGAACTAGCCCAGGGCCCCACCCTAGTGCTAAGTAAGGTTTACACACCTGGCTGACCTCGTGCAGATGCAGCCCCTAGGGCCTGCTGAAGACTCAGCTGTGTAGATTCCGGTTGGGGCCCCGCACGCATGTCACCTGACATTTGTGAGGCACTTCATGCTTCACAGAGCTCTTCTCAAGGCGGCCGCTCCTGTCGCCCTCCCAGCAGACCCGAGGGCTTGCTGATGTTCTCTATTTCACAGTTGGTGGAAGGAGACCTGTAATTGGAGGTGTGTCCGCTGTCACAGCCAATCARCGGCAGAACCAGCCCGTGGTGCTTGGGTCCTCAGCTGTTCTGTGTGGCTAATCTTTGAGCAAAGGCATGGCATCTCTGCAGGAGGCCTGAGTGGGAAGCAGAGGTAGACCCACCTGGCCTGAGAAAGAAGGCTGCAGGGCAGTCCCTAAACCCTGCCTCAGGTGGAGCTAGGACCCCATTAACCCGGAGGGGAGCAGAGGGGAGCYGGCTAGGAAAAGGCAGGGCCCACACCACAGGAGGGGGCCCAGTGGGGCTCCAGCAGGCCTCAGCCTGCTTCGAGGAAACCCTGGGTCACGTGGCCAGGGAGGCCAGCATCTGCTGGAGGACATTGGGCCCAGGTCTGCAGAAGAGGGAAGAGGTGGAGGTTTGTGTTGTCCCTGAAGGCAGAGGCCTAGAAGGGTCAGCCTTCGCAGAGGTCCCCAAGCATTGTCCCCAGCACCCACTGAATCCTGGGCCATAAAGGGCAGCTTTGCTAGGAAGGCAGCGAGGGCTCTGGGGACTCTCCCGAGATGTCACCTTTTGCCTAAGACAGGGAGGCCTTCCCCTCCCTTCCCTTCCCTTCCCCCAGCCAGCTCACCTCTCTCCCTCAGATCCCTGTGCCACATTTTCCTTGCCACCTGGTGCCATTTAACAAGAGAAGTGGCATTGCATTCTCCGGTGAGGGCTGGGAGCCTTCCAAGTGCTGGGGAACTCGACACTGTCACTGCTGCCAGCTCCCTGCAGAGCTTGGCAAGGCCCTGGACTGAGAGGCCGCTCTGGGGCTGGGGACTGGCCTGCCCCTGCCTCACGGCAGAGCTGAGTGACACATTTAAATGGCAGCAAGGTGTTCACAGACCAGCTGTCCCCAGAAGGCTGTGGACAAGTGGACAGGGAGTGGTTGCTTCACTGTCCAAAGGCTGTGGCAGCGTCTGGAGGAATGTGACTGAAGGAAGGATCGGAGGCCCTGCCCCTGCCTGCCAGCGAGCTGCTGGGGTGGAGGGGCTGCTGGGGTGGCTGCATGCTGATGGCAAAGCCTCAGGCAGGTCACTCATCTATAGGATGAGGTCAGGCTAATGAGGGGACACCAGGGATTGAACCCAGAGGCACTTGACCACTGACCACACCCCCAGCCCTATTTTGTATTTTATTAGAGACAGGGTCTCACTGAGTTGCTTAGGGCCTCTCTAAGTTGCTGAGGCTGGCTTTGAACTCGTGATCCTCCTATCTCAGCCTCCCTAGCCGCTGGGAATTCGGCGWGTGCCACTGCACCCAGCCTGGGAGGCAGTGTTAGAGGGTAGACCAGGACCATGGGCACAGGTCTGAGTGGGCAGCCTGAAGATCCCTCAGATGTCCTTCATCTGGGTCTGGGAGCTGCATGCTCCCTGCTTTCYAACACAAGGAAGGTGGGGCCTGAGCTCCTGCTGTCTGGATGAGGTGTCTGAGATTCAGGGGGCAGGCTCATTTGTTCTGCTGGGCAACCCTTGGCCCACCCTACCAGAGCTCACTTTCTCTGCAAGAGGTGGCCCCGACCCAAAAGTTCTGGCCTGAGCCAGGCACAGTGGCACATGCATGTAATCCCAGTCACTCTGGAGGCTGGGGCAGGAGGATCGCAAGTACAGAGCCAGACTCAGCAACGGAATAAGGTCCTAAGTAACAGTGAGACCCTGTCTCAAAAGAAAAAATCAAAAGGCTGGGGATGTGGCTCAGCGGTAACGCACTGTTGGGTTCATCTCTGGTTAAAAAAAGAAAGGATTCTGGCCCCGGTGGCCCCAGTCTGCTGGTATTCCCCACTTTGCCAAGGACGCAAGGCCTTCCCAGCAAGGGCAGGCTCTACAGCATGGCACCATGCGTCCTTCACCCCTGGGTGGGCAGAGGCCGGGCAAGCTGGCCACAAAGGAAGTGGTGCAGTGGGAAAGGGCTGGGCCTGTGGGTCCCACCACAGGCTCTGTGACCAGCTTGCAGCGTGACCTGGGGCAGTGAATTCCCACTGCCTGCTCTACTCTTGAGGACCTCTGAGGCAGAGCCGCCAGAGCCTACCCTGTGCTTGTCCCTTTGTTACCCTCCCTGGAGGCTGGCTTGTTGTCCAGGGGAACAAGGGACAAGGTGAGCTTTGCAGGTCCCTGAGGCAGCGCGGTCCCGGCCTGCCCCCAGGTGAAGGGTGCTGGGCCAGGCCTGCTAGCGGGCTCCCGTACACAGGGCCCTTGTCCAGAAGCACTCGCCGGCTCAGTCCTCCGTCCCTCCAGTCTCCCAGGGCCTGAAGGATACTGGCCATTATGAGAGGACTTCTCAAGACACTTGGGCACCACCCTCACATCAGAAGAAAGCCAAAGGCACTTGGGAGTCCCAGGGGGAAGGTCAGTGTTCAGAGGAGTCCCACACTTGACCAGCCTCCCTGGGAGGGAAGACAGGCTCCTCAGGGCTGGACTGACCCCCACCCTCTGCTCCCCGTGGGGTCCTCAGATGACAGGCCCCCACTGGCATGTGCAGGGGCTCGGCCTGCCTGGCCTGGCCCTTTCTTCTCTAGCTGTTGCAAGGTAGGGACGGCYGTTCCTCTCCCCCACAGGGTGGCTGGAGGAGTGGGTCCCGAGCAGCTTGGACCAGGTGGTAGGGCTGCATGTGTCCCTGGTCACTGTGAGGTGCTTCTGCTCCCCAGATGGTCCTGGGGCACACTCTCATCTCCAACAAGGTTGCCCTCTCACCAGGCCTTCTGCAGCTCCCCTTGGTGAAGAGTGCACCCCAATCCCCTGGCACCCTCCCATTCTGAGTTTTCCTCCCCAGTGATCCTCCCCTGCCCTCCYGTGGTGGGGGATACTAGAGACTGAACCCAGGGGTGCTTTACCACTGAGCCACATCCCCAGCCCTTTTGATTTTTCATCCGGCTTCTCGCCATTGCTTCTCGTCCCTTACCTACTATACTGCTTCCCTGCTTGGGCTTGGCTCTGGGGTTCCCTGCTGCTGCCCCAGAACCTGGAACAGAGCCTGGTATATAGTAGGTGCTAGTAAGTACATAGTAGGTGTTAGCATTTGGTGGATATGAGAGACCCGCACATGGTCTTGGCCTGGGGATTCACAGAGGGTCAGAAGCCTGCAGGAGGCCCAGAGCCCTGCAGCTCCTGGTCCCTGCTGTGTGGTGCCAAGAGAAGCCCGAAGGGGAACCCCTAGGAGGTTCCTGCTCCTCCCCTCCCAGCCTCCCACCTTGGCCTCACACAGGTGGGCTGGCCCCAGGAAGTGGGGACTCCACTCCCTGTGGCTGGGACACTGAGGGGCTGTGGTCTCCTGTCTGACCTCAAATGGAGGCCCCCTGTCCCCAACCCATGCTAGAGAATGACTGGGCTGGCCAGGCGGGAACCTGTGGTGTGCTGATGTGTGCCTACGGGGAGAGGAGAGGGCTGGGTTCCCTACTGCTCTGTGGAGAGTGTGACTGGCCCCCGCCCTGCTCTGGTTCAGCGGGGACAGAGTTCCAGCCTCCCTGGTCGCCATGCCGCAGGCTCGGCATCCTGCTGCTCAGCCTTGCCAGATRTATGAGTCCCACCACTCTTGCCCACCCCACCCATGTCCAGAGGCCCAACCCTGCTGTCCCCGCTGAGGGGGGCTTCCCAGCAGCATCCCTTTTTGTTGGAGCGGCCAAAATTCATGAGGCGGCCAAAGAAATTCCCAGGATGGAGATCCGGGTGCTCATAAAATGAGGGGAGCGGACCTAGCCCCCGGGACCTGCCCCACCAAGGGTGAGACGGGAGGCCAGCAGGGCAGTCACACCGTGTGGCCCAAGTGTGAAACACCAAGAATCCTTTGTCAACCTGCGTGATGCACCTATGGGATGTGAAGTCCCAAGCAGTCCAGAAAGAGAGGCTGTGGGGTGCAGAGGCTGCCCCTGGGGAACCTAGGGAAATGCCCGCTTCCTACTCAGAGACTTGGGTGGGTCTGGGGGCCTGTTCGTGGGAACGTGTTCAGGTATTGCCGGCACAATGACGGCTAGAACTAATCTTGAAGTTCAGAGTGATTCCAGGTCTCAGAGCAGTTTCACGTACAGTTCTGGGGGCTGGGCATCTCTGCCCCCAGGGACTGCTCCCCTACACCTCTGGGCTTGTCCCACAGGCACAGAGTGGCCTCACTTCCCCCCACCGTGTTCCCAAAGCATGAAGGGCACAGGCCACGCTTCACAGTCAGGTGGGCACAGACCCCATCCAGGCCCCTCATACCTGCTGGTCATCCTGGGAAGACCCTCTGGCCTTGAATCTCTRTTTCCTCTTCTTCAGGTGTTTGGGGGGAATTTTAGGAGCAAAAATGAAAGGAGACAACCTTCTCCCTGACGGACCCCAAATTAATCATCTTTTCAAAAAGGCAATTCAATGAATGAAGAGTCAAGAATGTTAAGTCAGATTCAGTTCAAGTTGAAGGGGTTCAGGAACAAAGTCCCTTCTTTTCTTTTTTTCCTCTCTCTCTCTCTCTCTCTCTCTCTCTCTCTCTCTCTCTCTCTTTCTTTTCTTTCTTTTTTTTTTTTTTTTATAGTAGAGATTGAACCCAGGGGCACTTAACCACTGAATGACAGCCCCAAAATTAAAAATTAAAACCATTTTTAATTTTTTTATTTTGAGACAGATTCTTGATAAGTTGTTTAGGGCCTCACTAAGTTGCTGAGGCTGGCGATCCTCCTGCCTCAGCCTCTTGAGCCCCTGTGATTACAAGCAAATACAATAAATAAATAAAAAGGGTTGGTGATGCAGCTCAGTGGTATAGTGCCCCTGAGTTCAATCCCCAGTACCAAAAAAAAAAATATATATATATGAGGGGCTGGGGTTGTGGCTCAGCGGTAGAGCGCTCACCTAGCACGGGTGAGGCCCTGCGTTCGATCCTCAGCACCACATAAAAATGAATAAATAAATTAAAGATATTGTGTTCAACTACAACTAAAAAATAAATATTAAGATATGAACTTGGTGCTGGGGTTGTGGCTCAATGGTACAGCGCGTGCCTAGCAAGCGCAAGGCCCTGGGTTCATCCTCAGCACCACATAAAAAATAATTAAATAAACATAGGTATTGCGTACAACTAAAACATAAATTTAAAAAAAGAAAAGATATGAACTCATAATATCAAATTATTTAAGGTAAAAACTGTTTTTAAAACAGTGGGGAGAGGGCTGGGCTTGTGGCTCAGTGGTAGAGCGCTTGCCTAGCACATGTAAGTCACTGGGTTTGATCCTCAGCACCACAAAAAAATAGATAAATAAAATAAAGGTATTGTGTCCGTCTACAACTTTAAAAAAWTTTTTTTTAAATGGTGGAATATGGGGGGCTGGGCATGGTGGCACTTGCCTGTAGTCCCAGCTACCCAGGAGGCCAAGAGAAAATCATTTGAGTCACAGTTCAGGCCAGCCCGAGCAACACTGTAAGACCCTATCTCAAAATAAAAACTAACAAGGGTCAGGGGTGTAACTCAGTGACAATGTATCTGGGTTCAATCGCTAGAGGGCCAATAGGCCCCAGTAGGCCCCATACAGCAAAAAAGCAAAACTTGGCACAGTGAGAGGATCATTTGAACTCATAAATCTGAGACCCAGCTAGGCAACACAGCAAGACCCAAGCTGTTAAAGGAACAATGAAAATTTGTAAGAATTACACTGACTTCAGAAACTTTAACTCTTTGTGTCATCTCTCAATCAAAAAGTAACAGAGAGGTGGAGGTAGTGGGTGCAGTGGTGCATACCTGGAATCCCCATTACTCATTACTCAGGAGGCTGAGGCAGGATTGTAAGTTCAAGGCCAGCCTCAGAAATTTAGGGAGGCCCTCTCTCAAAAAAAAAGAAATGCTGGAGATGTGGCTCAGTGGTTAAGCACTCCTGGGTTCAAACTTCAAGAAAGAAAGAGAGAGAGAGAGAGAGAGAGAGAGAGAGAGAGAGAGAGAGAGAGAGAAGGGAGGGAGGGAGGGAGGGAAGGAAGGAAGGAGAAAAAGTGACACAGAGCTAAGCACTCCGGTGCATACCTGCAATCCCAGTTAGTCAGGAGGCTGAGGCAGAAGAATACAAGTTTGAGGCCAGTTTTGGTGAAGCCCTTAGCAACTCAGTGAGACCCTGTGTGAAAATAAAAATATAAATTAAAAAAAAAAAAGGCTGGGGATGTGGCTCAGTGGTTAAGCATGCCTGGGTTCAATCCCTGATACCACTAAATAAATTATAAAAAAATAAATTTCAAAAACTGAGGATGAATGCCCCTGGGTCCAATTCCCAGTACTGCAAAGAAAAAGGAAATTGGTAAACTTGACTTAGGAGCTATGAAAAGAAAAAAAAAAAAAATTGAGGTGTAACCTGTATTTCCCACATTGGTGAAATTTCTCTTCTTAACCACTCAGTCATCCAAGCCGAGATTCAGGGCCTGCCACAACCCCCACCCCCACCCACTTAGGAAGCTCAAGTGAAAAGGTTCAGCCAAGGTCAGGCACAGAGACACTAACCCCACAGGCCTTTTGCTGTTCCTTGCCTTGTCCCTCACCCCCAGCTCAGTGTGGGCGCGAAGGAAGCACCCAGTAAACATTAGTGTCAAATGAGTAATTCTGCTTTGTCCCTCCAGGCGGCTGGCCTCCCTCTCCAGCCAAGGTAAGGGACCTTTATTTTGTGGCAGCAAGGCTCTGTGCTGGAGGAGGCAGAGCAGCCCGATTCTTACCCCTGCGGGAATGGAGGCCCAGCGCAGGCTTGCATCCTTGGCTCAGCTCAGGTGAATTATCCCAGCCCTGGCCCCGCTGGGCCACCCTCTCCCATACACAGGTGCTCTGCTCCTGGGTTCCCACAGTCTCAGACAGCCCTGCCCCAGTGTTTGGCTCAARGGCCAGGTGAGGTGCCTGGTATGTAGACAGAGCTCTGTGTCCCTAAAGATAGCAAGTTATTACAGTGGCACCGACAGTGACAGGTGAGAGTGGCCTTGCCCCACCCCTCTGYACCACAAGAAGGGCTGTGCTGGCCTGGCTCCTCTCCAGACTTCTGGCCTCGCCATCCGCCCACTCACACCCACACCCACCTCCCAGACCCACTTCTCCTTTGCAGCTGCCCCACCGCCTACACCTTCCTGCCACGGAGTTGCTGGCCCATGGGCAGGGGACAGAGAGGCAGTGGGCCAGGGCCCCTCAAGGCGGGCCCCCTGGGAGTTCTCTCCTGAGCTAGAAACCCAGGGACCAGCCTTGCTCCCCTCACACTGGGCTCATCCCCAGCCTGGACCATGACCCCYGGTCTCCTTGCTGCTCTGTCTACCTCCAACTCCAGTGGCCAGAGGAGAGGAGGGTCCTTCTWAATAGAGCACAGCCCTGAGAGGCCCCTACCCAACCCTCCTGCTCCTCATTGCAGGCCTGGTGCTGGGGGACAGCCCATTCTTCCGCAGCCCAGGCCCTCCCTCCTCTCTCCCAGGGTTCCCCATAGCAGTGCCATGCCTGTCTCCAGAACCCATGCCCCCTTAACCTCTCCAGGCCTTTCCCGTGCCATGGTCCCCATCTGCCAAGCTCGTTTCCCTCCCCCTTCTAGCTGCTACAGGTTTCCCTCCCCCACAAGCTCCCTCCTGGCCCCTGGAGAGATACTCCTCCTTGTGCACTCTGTGCCCACCCCAGCYTGAGTGCTTGGGATCTGAATGGCACACCTGAACCTTGTGCTCCAGGTGAGCTGGGACCTCTCCAGGTACTCTCCAGCCCTTGCCTGGGGGAGGGAGCTCTTTGGGCTTGGTGGGGCACAAAGGTGAGAGCTTCCAGTCTGGGGAAGAGGAGTCAGGGTGGCCACAGGTTCCTCACTTCCATGCAGATCTTACTGGGACACTCTGTGTGGCTCTCCAGTGTCCTCCAGCTGGGTCCAAGCAAGGCCCCTGCCTGGCTGTCTGGGCCRGGCACTCCTGGCCTTCCTGTTAGGCTTCCAGACCTTTGTTCACACCAGTCTCCAGTCTCCACACTGCCCGGCTCCCTAGACCTCACTGGGTCTGCCACACCTCTCATCATCACCTCCCSCGCAAACCTTCCTGTCCCCTTCCATGGTAACCTGTGCTGGTGACCCTTGGGCCTGGCCCTGCACCCACTAACTCCTGCGCTGTCCTGGGCACCTGGTTGCTGGATCCCCGCTGCGGGCAAAGCCTCCAGAGAAGGCAGGGGACTGCGGGGGTTGGGGRTGGAGAACCAAGCCTGGCAGTTTGGACGTGCTTTGAGGCATGGTCTGTCTCCCTCCATCTCCCCCAAGTGGGAGCGCCACACAGCTGACTGGGGCCTGGTACAAGGTAGTCACTCCGGAGGGTTTGATGTCCCGGGAAGGGCAGAAGAGCAGTCAGGAGGGGCTGGTGGGAGCATCTGTGGCACCCGCTGGCTGACAGCGGGAGTCCCTTCCCTGGGSTGCCAAGGGCGGGCTTTGGTGTGACCCCGGGCCCGGCAGAGGGCCCACCCAGCTGGCGTCTGGGGTGATGGTTGAGTGGCTGACCGGAGGAAGCGCAGGTGAAAGAGAAGGTTAGGGCGCGGGCCCTGGGGCCCCGGGGGCACGGTCCCACCACAGCCGTCCCACCCCAGCAGGCAGGGGCGGGCCGGAGGGTGGGGCCTCGGGTTTCCTCCCCAGGGGAGGGCCTGGCGGCTGAGCCGGGGACCCGTCCCTGCAGCTGGCGGAGGCCGGGCACCATGCGGCGCGGGGCCAGGAGCGTGCGGGGCAGGGACGGGCCGGCGCCCACGCCCTGCGTGCAGGCCCAGTGCTTCGACCCGCTGCTCCGCCTCTGCGTGGCCTGCCGGCTCTTCCGCACGCCCGAGCCTGGACACGGTAAGGGGCGACCCCCGCAGCTCGCCTCGGGCACCCGGGGAGGGGCCGGGGGAGGGKCCCGCCGCAGGGCCCCCCACCCGGCCAGGCCCGGGGCGACGCGTCGAGGGCCCCGCGGGACCAGCGCGCACCGCGAGGCGCTCACCGCCCCTCTCTCTCCCGCCCCGTGTGCCCCAGCCTCGCCTCCCTCCGGCCTGCGCTCCCTCCCCTCGTTCCCCCGTCCTCTCTCCCCGTCCCCTCCGCACGCGCCAGCAGCCGGCCTGAGCAGCCAGGCGCCCGGGACGGCGCTGCAGCCGCAGGAGTCCGTGGGCGCCGGGGCCGAGGCCGTGCTGCCCCTGCCCGGGCTGCTCTTCGGCGCCCCCGCGCTGCTGGGCCTGGCGCTCGCCCTGGCCCTGGCCCTGGTGGCTCTGATGAGCTGGAGGTGGCAGCGGCGGCGCAGGACGGCCTCCCTAGAGGCCCCAGACGGAGGCCAGGACGGTGAGTCCCGTGTCTGGGAGAAGGGAAGGTACCGTCCTATGGAGCGGGTCACAAGGGCTGGGGTGGGGCCTGTCGCTGGGGGTCATGAACCTTGGGAGCAGAGGAGGTGTGAACCCTTAGACAGTATTGTGACGGGTGTCCCAGACTGAGGGAGGGGAAGAGTTTGCTCCTGAGCAGGGACAGGCCCCAGCCCTGATCCAAGCAGGGGACAGCACTGCCCTGCAGACCCAAGGAGAAAGTCTCCCGGTGCAGGCCCGGTTCCTGGGAGCCTAGGGGGGCCATGGGCCCATGTGAGGCTCTGTGGGCTGACCAGTCGGGGTTTCCCACCCATCACCCTCAGTCTGCATCCCACAGCTGGCCAGGCCTCAGGACTCAGCCCTTCCTGTTCTGAGGGCCTGTCATGTGCCACCCCTCCAGGCCRCAGTGGTGCTTCATCTACAGAGGGCTATCTCTCTGGGGACCACTGTGACCCAATCCTGACACTCCATATCCCCATGCTCCTGCCCACCCCAGAGGCCCTGGATAATGTCATCATCCCCTCSACGGAAACTCTGGATGCTTCAGCTCCCATCTGGTCTCCACCCAGAGAAGACCCAGGCAGCACCCCACCTGGCCACAGTGTCCCTGTGCCAGCCACAGAGCTGGGCTCCACTGAGCTGGTGACCACCAAGACCACTGGCCCTGAGCAACAATAGCAGTGKAGAGGACAGGAGGGGCCCCTGTCCTGCATCAGTGTCCCCCCGCCACAAGGGTTCAGAACTGAATTCAGCTCCTCACTCCAGCACCCACCTGCCCTTTTCCTGGGAGCCAGAGTGCTCCCGGCTGAACCCTTCAGACACTACAGATCACAGGGTGTAGCCATTTGGAATTGTTTGTGTGTTTGCTTTTCGCTTAAGACCATGCCAACTTTGACTGTTCTTAAAGGTCCTCTCTGCTCCAGTGCTTTTGAATGACTAGCTCTGCGGGTTTGGGATATGGTTTGAATGTGTCCCCCAAGGCTCCATGTGTTGAAATTTAATTTCCATCATGAGATATTATTAAGGGGATGAAAACTTAATCTGATTGTGGCATTTAGAGGTGGGGCCTTTGGGAGATGATTAGGATTAGACAAGGTCATCTGGGTGACAATCATGATTGAACTTTCATGGCTTTATAAGAGAGAGACCAGAAGAGACACACAATATATACTTCCTGTCCTTTGCCTTGTGATGCCCTCTGCTACCTTGTATTTCAGCCAGCAAGAAGGTCATCATTAGATATGATTAGGCCTCCAGAACTGTGAGCTAAATAACCCATTTTCTTAAGAGTTTCCTAGCTTCAGGTATTTTGTTATAATAATGCAAATCCGACCAATACAGGTACTATGAATAAGAGATCTTTTCCTTTACAATAGGGAAGGGGCCATTAAGCCAAATGAGTCTGAAGAGAAGACCCAAGTAGGAGGATGCTTAATTTGTAGCCAGGGTTGTATTTCTTTAACACTTGCTCTCAGAATTATTCTGCTTTTAAACTGACGCAAGTGGCAGCAATGAGTAACCAGCTGATGGTTTCACTTTGGGATTTAGTGCAAGATTATTTTTAAATTTTTTTTGGTGTGTGTATGTGTGGTATTGGGGTTGGAACCCAGACCTCACGCATACTAGGTAAATGCTGTATCACCGAGCTACAGCCCGCTCTCAAGATTATTTTTTAGAAATAACCAGGAAGCTGGGCACGTGACACATAGCTGTAATCCCAGCGGCTTGGGAGGCTGAGGCAAGAGAATCACGAGTTCACAGCCAGTCTCAGCAATGGCGASGCACTAAGCAACTCAGCACCCTGTCTCTAAATAAAATACAAAATAGAGCTGGGATGTGGCTCAGTGGTTGAGTGTCCCTGACTTCAATCCCCAGTACCCCCCCCCAAAAAAAAATTGTGCATAATTGTGCTGATAGTATCTACATCCCAGCATCAACCCGGGCTTGGCCTAATCTGCTAGAACCTAAGATACCATTTCTACCCTGGTGGCAGCTTCTAGAGCTACAGCCCACACCCAGGAGGGTCTACAGCCTCCAGAACTAGACTCCAAGATCAAGCTGAGGGACACCGTGTCAGGAAGCTCTCTCTGGCTGCCCAGGACCCAGCTGACTCCCAAGCATGGCACAGTCAGCTTGCTCAGGGCCCAGCCCAGGGCCTACAGGAGACACCTTCATACACAGGTCAGGGCAGTCCTGTGGCTTTGAACCAGATGGATGGACCTGAGATCCCTAGAATGCCTTTCCCTCTATGGCCTGTCCTCCCTTCTCGCTYTGGTCCAGGCCCAAGAGCTGGGCTCATCTTGTGGGCTCCTGGACCACATTGTACACTCACAGCCAGCCATCTCCTCTCCTGCYTGCCCTCCTACAAGAGAGTGAACCTGAAAGTCATCCCCACCCCGGAAAACTACCTGGGAACTTGTCGCAACTTAGCACTTTTGGAAGGAGCACTGGACTAGGAGTCAGAAGGTGGAGTCCTGGGTGTTTTTGCCTTTGTAGGACCCTGGCCATTTTCTTTTCCATGCACCAGAGGTTTGCTGCCTGCCTGTCCTTGAGCTGCCCACCAGAGCTGCCTTGCAGACCCTGCCCCTCCCACCCACTGCTTTCCCAGCTCAGAAGACATTGGCAGTGGCATTTGGAGCCCCAGGACCTTGGAAATTCATATCCTAATCTCTGCCCAGTATTCCCTCTCTGAACCCATTTTAGATACCAGTACTCCTAGGAAGTCAGGTGACTGGAGTCATCAGATGGCAAGCAGTAAGTGGCAGAGTGTGGGCCAAGCGATTACACTCCCCCTCCATCCAGGGCCTGGGGAATCTGAGCTGTTCCTGGCCACCCTTTCTCCCACCCCACTTTCACCACTACAGTCAGGGTCTAGGCTCTGAAGGTGAAAAGGGTGAGTGAATCCCCCACCCCCACCTCCCGGGGCCCAGACATGCAAACCTTTGGCACCTCTGAGTCCCAGTGGAGGGGCAAACAAAGACGGGCATAGTGTCACCGCCCTGAAAGGGCCCAGACAAGGAGATCAGCCTCCTGACCTCTGAGCTAGGTGTGACTTTCTAAGGAGCCTTCACACTGTCATTGATACCACATTTGATTTTCACCACCATGCCTGGAGGGTAGTTAGGAATTTGTGTTTAAAAAAATTATTTAAAAAGTCAAGGTATGCTTGTTGTAGACGGGAAGTCCCAGAGGACAATCCAGGGTGGGGTCTCTGGAGAACTGACCTGTATCCAGCAACACCAGCCTTTATATATGACATATTGTTCTACATAACTGCAGTCATTTTATACATAAACAATCGCATCTTGTTCCATCATATGTAGTAAGTTTCTCTGTCTTGAAACACTTCCCAATAAGGCTTTCCACACTTGTCAAGTTTTCCACCTGAGTATTTCGTTATTTTCTGGTTTTGCTATTGTAACTAAGGCACTGAGCACCTTCTTGTGCATAAATCTTTGCATTAGTCTGACTTTTCCAGGACAGTGGAATAAAGGCCTTGACCTTTTAAAGGCCTCTGTTGGTGGAGTTGCTTCCTGAAAAATCTGAACCATTTCACAATCCAAGAGTGAGGATGTGCTATTTTGCAGGTAGGAAAAAGAGAGGCTCAGAGGGGTATTGGTCCAAGATGAAAACTGCAATTAGGTGAGTGTGGTGGTGCTACTTTGGAGGCTGAGGCAGGAATCAAAAATTGGAAGACAGCCTTGGAAATTTATGGAGACCTCTTCTCAAAACAAAACAAAAGTTAGAAAAGGGGCTGAGGGTGTAGCTCAGTGGTTGAGTGTTTTCCTAGCATGTGGGTACAATCCCTTGTACCACACACACACACACACACACACTCACTCACACACACATACACACAAAGCAACAATAACACATACACAAATAATCAAAGCAAACAACTCCCCACACCCCCCCTACAATTTTGGTGGGCTGGGTTAGAACAGAGCTGAAGGTAACCAGGCCCAGGCTCCCTCCTTAGGAGTGACCAGTTCCAGATTTTGACACCAGGCCTCACCTCTTGTTTTTACAACTATTCAAAGACTTTTCTCCCTCATTTTGCAATAAGAGGGATCCAAGATACACTCTGGAAAGACCACTTGTTGAGGTGGGAACACAGAAGCAGTCTGGCCACTCTAGCCTGTTTCTGGCCATTTTTTCCTAAAGGGGGCCTGGTTTCCACAAGGCCTTCAGGGTCTAGCAAGTGGGGGCAGGGCAGGCTTAAGTCTCGGTTCCTCCTGGGGCTTCCTGCAGGTCCCTTTCACTTCCTGCCTGGCAGCCAAGGGCTGGGGGCTTAAGGTGGGGGTAGGGAAGCCCAGCTGGTGCAGCCATAGAGGAAGGCCTGACCCCTCACCTCGTGCCTCATTAGTGATGGCCCAACATAGCACTGTCCTTAGAAGCTAGTGCCATCTTTCTGGGCCTGTCTCTGCATCTACAAAATGAGACTCCTGAGGACCACCTGGTTCAAAAAGAGGAAATGTGGCATGCAGGCCAGGGTCAGGGAATGCCACCAGCTTGGGGAAAGGAAGAATTGGAGTTCAGTAGGAACAAATGCTCAGGGTCGCGGGGAGAATCCGGAAGGGCCTTGGAGGAAAATGTCCTCAGCCTTGCGGTTTCCTCCTGGGACTCTGCAGAGGGCAGCGCTGAGGGGTGGCGGTGACTGATGGTTGTACAGGAGTCCCCCAACCCAGGGGAGCCCTGAGCATCTCCTCCACTTTCATAAACTGCAGAGAATCTGGGATCCAACCCCTGACCCAGGATGGTGCAGCGAATCTAGGGCAGGTGAAAGTCTATCTGTAGGGCTCCTGCGGTCAGCTTCATGGGTGGCACTTTGACCACCATCCGCGGACACCGGAAGGGGGTTCAGAACAGGGTGGGTGGGGCCAGAACCAGCCGCGCGGCTGGGGAGTCAAGAAGAGGCTGGGCAGCGGGACTCTCGCTTCAAGGTAGCCGGTAATGGGCGGGGTCAAGGCCCAGGGCCGAGAAAAAAGGGAGGGAGATGATGGGCGGGCGGGACCAAGACTGCAGGCACCTGCTTGTAGCCCTTGACCTCTGACTACGGAGGGTCAGAGCCTTAGCGTAGAGAACTGCAGCGGGAGTCGGGAGGTTCCCGGATGCGGGCCACTACCCCAAACTTTCGGGCCAGGTGTGGGGGAGGGGGCGAAGGACGCTGATGACCTGGGAGTTGTGCCCCAGTAGGAGGGCTGGCGTGGGGAGGGCGCCGGTGACTTGGTGGACGCGCGGCGCGACCTCGCCGAGCCCCGTCCAGTCTGCATTCCCGCGCCGAGGTCCTGATGGCCAGCTCCAGCCCTGCCCGCTCACTGGGAACTTTAGAGGAGCCTTAAGGAAAGCGATGGGGTGGGGGCCGGCCCAGGGATTTCCTGGGACTCCCAAGGCAGGGTGGATTGTGGCCGGGGAGAGGTGCCTGGGAATGCGACGGGAGGCTGAGACTCCGCTCCCAGCCCCCCAATCCCGCCGCTCAGGAGCTCGGGCGCCCCTCCCTCCCTCCCACGGGCAGCTGGAGCCTGAGTCACGAACTGCTTCTCAGGAGACAAAGGCAACCGTGGGCCCTCCCGCCAGACCCACTCCTGGTGCCTGCATTTGCTCTAGCAGGGCATCCATGGTCCCCAGAGTCCCTGCTTCTTGGGTAAGCCTCCATCACAGAGGAAATGGAAGAAAGTGAGTTGAGGAATGAGGCCCTTCTTGCATCCCAGTGGCATCCACTGTCACAATCTCATCTTCTGCAGTGGGGGTTCTCTTAAGACCATGTTTACCCAGGTGTTTCCCTGTCTAGTGTCCATTGCCCTCTCCCTGCAGCCCTGCCAAAGGGTCACTAGCAGCCCGTCTTGCAGATGAGAAAGCTGAGACCTAGAAAGGTGGTACGGCCCTAGTGCAGCAAAAATCCCAACCTGGTCAGTCAGGCTCCACCATGAAGGATGAGCAGCTCTCAGTGTGAGGGTCTGGAGGGGCATTTCAGGAAGAGAACAGCTGCTCAAAAAGCCAGGGCCTCCTTCGGTGGCCTGTGCACTGGGGGTGTGGGAAACACTTCCCTGGTGCAGTCAGGGCCCTCCAGCTGCTGTCTTTTACCAAACTGTCCAGAAAGTAGGATTGGGACTCAGTGCAGGTCACAGGCCAGATTCTGGCTCTTCCTGGCTGTGTGCCAGTCCTAACAAGTCACTTCCCCTCTCTGGGTCTTGGGTTTCTCTCTAGGAAATCCCAAACCTTCTCCCCCAGGGCTGGGAAGAGCTGGCAGACTGATCACCCACCATTTAAAATGGGAACACTGAGGGCCAGCATGGGCTTTCCCTACTGTCCCTAATGTCAGGACCCCCACTCAGGACTCCCAGTACCCCACAACCAGAGCCAGGCAGGGAGGGAAGAACACGTGTTCCCYGGGCACATTCACATGAACACACAGGTGCACATGTGTGTTGATGGTGCAAGGAAGGCCCTTGTGTAGTCACACCAGCCCCCTCCCCACATACTTTCATCCATGAGTACACTCAGACACCSGCACAGTCAAGCTGCCAGCACTGGGAGCTGGGGGCGGGGCAGGTGCCCTTCAGGCGCAGAGATTCAGCTCCTCTGCCCGCCCCTCGGGGCTCACTGCAGATGCCAGGGGTTATTTTAAGCTTGGATCAATGGACGATTTTTGGTGACACAGGCCTGGGGGGGGGGCTGGCAAAAGAGACAAGGGGCAGGTGCCCTTAAGTTGTGCCATGATCCCTGAGTCCAGGGCAAAGGGGTCACTCCTCAGTTGGGCTGCACCATCTCTAGATCCCCTTACTTGGCACATGGCCTGGCACCTGGGGGGGGGCAGCATCAGCTGCCTGCAGGTTCTGCCTTAAGGATAGTGACGGGGTGGGGGCTGGCCCAGGGATTTCCTAGGACTCCCAAGGCAGGGTAGGTTGTGGACGGGGGAGAGGTGCCTGGGAATGCGATGGGAGGCTGAGACTCTGCTCCCAGCCCCCCAAGAACTCTGCCAGTCAACTAGGCAATGTCTTTGGGGTTTGACCTTCTTGCTCCCCCCTCACTCCCCAAGGCACTGAAGAGGGAGGGCACTAAGTGCCTGGCACAGACCTGGTTAGATGTGGGCACCTGTAGTTGATGACTGACCACAGAATCCAGAGAATCAGATTAGGATGGGGAGAAAGCTGTGTGTTTGTGTGTTGGGGTGGGGTCAGACTTCAGTCCCTGGGTGGCTGGAGGGCAGGAATCCAGCTCCTTCATCAGACAAATGGCTGTCACTATATACAGATATTTGCAGAACCTGATCAGAATCAACATGGGGTGGATACTGAAAAGATCCAGTGCTAGGACAATGGGGGCAAGAGGGATCCATGAGGTGATAGGGAGAGCCTTGGGATATTTTCTGTGGACCCAATAGGGTCACCCTTCCTAGAAAGAGCCAAAGTTCCAAGGGGCAGAGACAAGCCTCTTCAAACCCAGTGCCCAGCAATGTGGGAGCAGGGGCAGCATTGTCCCCAGAGCCTCTGCAACCTGGAGGGCAGCTTGGTAGCATGTGGCAGGAGCGTTAATACAGAGCAATTAGTGCCACTGTTCCCATTTCTAGGAAAACCCTGTAAGAAAAGGATGCTCTAGAAAGCACAGCTATGAAGTTCTGAACAGAATAACAAAAAGTTGAAGGACAGTAAAGAGCAAACTAAAAAGCAGTTACAAAATAGGATGTAAAGTGTGACATATTTTAGCTGTTTTTCTGGTGATGGGATTAAAGCAGGTTTGCTTCATTTCTTGCTCCTCTGTTTTGTTTCTTCTAAAATTATAATAAGGAAAGTCTTAATGAGGGTGGGGTCTCTAGGGCTGAATAGGATGTGTGTGGTGTGGAGGGAGGGGGCAGTTGTCTTCAGCCTGGGCAGAAGGAGACATTCTGAGCACAAGGCCACCCTCCTTCCTGCCTTAGCCCACTAATACCTGAAATTAGCCTGTCAGACCCTCATCTCAGGCAGCAGCAGAAGGATGATCCTCCTTAAAATGTAAATCCTTCCTCCTCTTCCCCACCTTCTTCACTTTCATAAGCTGATCCTGGCCATGAAGGGAGATGGAAAGGAGAGCAGAATGGACCCTCAGATGCCCAAGTTCTTCATCTTACTGAAACAAGAGGGTAGAGACATTTCATCCCGCATTCAGTCATTCAGCAAATACTGACAGAGGCCTGAGTTGTGTGGGGCACACAGGGTGAGTTGCACACCCAGTCCTTGCCCTCTCTGTGTTTCAGAATGTCTTCCAGGAAGAATTGTTTTTGTTTTTGTTGTTTTGCTTTTGAGGCTGAGTCCCCTTCCTGACGCTTCCCCGTCCATCCTTCCCCTGGCCTGGGAAAGGACCTGAGAGTCCTACTGGAGTTGCCAGGTTCCACTGGCTCTGACTCCCAGTGGGCCCAGCCCTCCTCTCCCAAGGCAGAGGTTGGCCCAGTGTCCTCCCCATCCCACCTTGGAAGCGGGAAGACCACAGGAGGACTCTAGGCAGGCCATCCCCAACACTGAGGAACCCAGCCAAGCATCCAGCAGGTCCTGGAACCGGGGCCACGGAGGAGACCCAGACGTGCCCCTCCGCCGCAGTTCCGCTAGGATTTTCCTTCCCCTTGTATTGAGGGGGGGGGGRATCAAGGCTTACAGAGGGGAAGGGACCTTCTTCCTGTCACAATTAGAACTGACGGAGGGGGACCGAAAGGAGGCGGTGTCGTGCACCGACCCTCCCGGGGCTCTTCAGGGCTGCTCTGATCTCTGCCTCAGTCCCCGCACCGGTAAAATCGAGTCGGCGGTCGCGGGCGCGATGTCCGAGGTAACAGTCCTGGGAGCCTTGAGCTGAGCCTCCTCGGGCGCCCGAATATCTGAGAAATATTTTGGGGAGGTCTTGGGAAGGGGCCCGGTGGGAGCCCGGGTGCGCGGCCCCGCCGCGCCCTTCCCTCGGGTCGCAGCGGCCGCGCTCCGCCCCCGGCTCGCTGCCCCCGCCCTCCGCCCGCGCTCGCTCCCCCGCCCGCCCGAGCCCGCGCCGAGCGGGAGCCGGAGCCCGAGCCAGAGAGCGGGCAGCGCGGAGCGGGCGGCGGGCAGGCAGCAGTGTCCGGCGGTCGCAGTCCCCGCTCGCTCCAGGACCCGCACAGCCAAAGGGCAGGGGAGAAGTCGCAGCCCGCGCGCAGGGGAGCGCCCGCCGCCCCGCCCGGGGGCCGGAATCCCAGGGCGCGCCCTGGCCGGCCCGGGTCCGAGGTGAGCCCGGAGGAGGACGCGCCCATTGGAGGTACATCCCGCGAGCTCCGGACTGAGCCCACCTGGCCCTGGGTCCTTGGAGGACGCCGACAGCCGAGGAGGCGTCCGCTCCGAGCCAGCGCGGGAACAGCGGCGCGGCGCTATCCCGAGGGTCGGAGGATCCCGGCTGGAGGGAGCCGCGGCGCCCGGCCATGCGCTGGGCGCAGTAGCAGGAGACGCGGACCCAATGGAGCGGGCCGGGGCGCGGGGACTGCCTGGAGGCCGCCGTCCAGCCGGGCTGCGGCTCGCGCTCGCGCTCTGGCTGGTCCTACTACTAGCGCGGACGCCGTCGAGCCGCGCTGGGGCCCCCGAGGCGCAGGAGCCCGTGGCTGCGAGCGCAGCGGCCCCGACTGGCGGCGACCGCTGCCGCGGCTACTACGACGTGATGGGCCAGTGGGACCCGCCGTTCAACTGCAGCTCCGGCGCCTACAGCTTCTGCTGCGGCACGTGCGGCTACCGTTTCTGCTGCCACGACGGGCCGCGTCGTCTTGACCAGAGCCGCTGCTCCAACTACGACACACCAGCCTGGGTGCAGACTGGCCGGCCGCCTGCTCGCGCCCGCGATACCGCGGCGCCCCGGGACCCGGCCCGCGAGCGCAGCCACACGGCTGTCTACGCTGTGTGCGGCGTCGCCGCGCTGCTAGTGCTGGCCGGCATCGGGGCGCGCCTGGGCCTGGAGAGGGCGCACAGCCCGCGCGCACGGCGCACGGTGACCAGGTGAGCGCGCCGGCCACCCCTCCCCAGCCCATTCTGCCCGGAGGCCACTCCCTGGCGCCTCCATCCTTTTTGCCCCTCTGGTCCTCTTAACAGCGCCCTTCTTCTGGCTTATTCCCTTTTCTCTCTCCCCATGCCCCCACGTCACTGAGGAGATAACCTGATACTGCTGTCTCCCCTTGACCTTCCTGTCTGTGCCAGGCCCTGGGCTGCCCTTCCCGCAGTTCCAGCCTCTGGAGAGGGCATAAGACCTATACCCAGCGAGGTGGCAGGGACCCAAACCTCACTTGCCGGGCAGACAGGATTGTAGTTCTACTGAGAGTCTTGGCAGAGAGAAGAGAAGGGGAGCTTGGCTTCTTCCTTCCTGCTTCTCCCATTTTCCCTCTCTTTTTCCACTTCTCATCCATCTCTCCACCCCCCAGCTGGGACTCAGGCCTGACCTTCCTGAGGTTTAGAAGCCTCAGCTTGCCCCTTTCGCTAACCCCTAGATGAACGCCAAGGTCTCCCTCAGTATAAAAAGGAGACCGAAGGCCAGTCCCAGCACCTCAGGAAGCTGAGGCAGGGGATTGAAAGATGGCCTTCACAATTTAGCAAGACCCTGTCTCAAAATTTAAAAAATAAAATAAAAAGGACTGGGGGTGTAACTCAGAGGGGATGTAGCTCAGAGGTAGAGCCCTGCTTGGCTAACTCCTTGGTACAGTATAGAAAAACAAGAGACAGAARAAGGGAACAGACTTGTGTTTGGAGGGCAGGCTAGATGGTGAGTTCTGAGCTTAGTTGGGGTGGGGACTACTGCACCCAGATTCTCTTCCTCACTGGATGGTATCAATGGGAATCTCAGTGTCCTGACCCTGGAATTTCCCACTCCACCCCCTTTTTTTTTTTTGGTTGGGCACCAGGAATTGAACTCAGGGGCACTTGACCACTGAGCCACATCCCCAGCCCTATTTTGTATCTTATTTAGAGACAGCATCTCACTAAGTTGCTTAGTGCCTCGCCATTGCTGAGGCTGGCTTTGATCTTGTGATCCTCCTGTCTCAGCCTCCTGAGCTGCTAGAATTACAGGCATGTGCCATCGCGCCTGGCTTCCACCCCTCACTTATACTCACCTGCACCCTGCAGCCTCCACTGCCTGCCTGTGCCCTCATCCATCCAAGTCCCAGTTGGGCATGTGGACTGCTCACATCATACAACAGGCTAGAATTTAGAAGTGACAATAGAGAGAATACCCCATGATCTGATGGGACCGATGTGGATGCCTCACCTCCTTGGCCTCAGGCAGGGTATGAGGCCTTCCTTGCTGCCCAGGCCACTTAATCCACGCACTCCTAGACAGCTATAGGGCACAACGGGGACTGGGGCCTTGGCCTTCCTCCTCAACTATTGTGCTGCCTTGGGGATGTGGTTTTTGGCTGGATCCTGTATGTTGCAGGGTCTGGAGCTTGGCCTCCTGAGTTTGGTGTCCCTCATGCTGGGCAAAGGTAGCAGCAGGGAGGACAGGGCATGTCCTTGAGGAGGGAGGGACAGTGGAAGCTGAGGGCCATGATGGCGTAGGAGGGTGCTGGGGCAGCCTCACTGACATGTTCACCTGGAATTTTTTCATCTGCAGGTTTGGTTAGCCTCAGCCAAGCCCCTTTCCTTCTGTGGGTGCCCTGACTCTCTTTTTTTTTCCTTGGGGAGTCCTTGAATAGGACTTGGGCTCATGAGTGCATGTGTTCTGAACCTGCGTCAAAGCCTCACCCTTAATTCTGCCTTGGTGGGGCTGATGGCTGGGGAAGGCTTCTCAGAGAGCTTGGAGGGGTACTGGAACCAGCCCTCGGAGAAAGTTTATGCAAAGGCCAGGAGGCAGGATGAGTGCTTGGTTGCAGGGAGAGCTGGATTAGAGGTTCTTGCACAGAGATGACCCCACAGAAGTGAGGCACTGAGGAGAGGGCAGGGCAGGAAGTTTGGTCCAAGCTGGTACTAGACACTTTCAGGCCCTGACACACTGCAGTCAACCCTTGGTCACCCCAGGTGTCCTCATGTGCCTCTTTATGAATCAACCATAGCCCCAGTCCCAGAAGGAGGGTGGGGCCGAGTGGGAGAAAATCATGGGTTCGGGTGCTTGCAAGCAGCTGGGCTGAAGCTGGCTGTGGGGAAGGCTGTCAGACACTGTCACAGCTGGGTGGGGGCTGGGTGTCCTGGGTACCCAGGGAGACGCCTGCCCAAGGTCACAGAGCCTTTGGGTGCCAGGCTGCCAATGGAGGCTCTCCTGACTCCCCCTACCACGGTCATGGTCTTTCCTCCCCTGTGCTGACCACTGAGCCTCAGGTCCTGGCAGAAGCCCCTGCTGCAGGAGGGGAGGTGGGCAGGTAAAGAAGGTCTCTTGGAGCAGGAGGGACTCATGGGGCTTGAAGAATGAATAGATGTTTAACAGAAGGAGATGGAGAAAAGGATATTGCAGGCAGAACGAACTTGTGTTGGGACAGTGGGCTCAACTGGGGAGGGTCTTAGAAAGCAAGCTCCAGGGAGGGGAAAGAAGGGAGCCTCTGAAAACAAGATGGCACTGGTTACAGTGACCCCATCAGAGTTTTTTGACCCTTGGGGGGTGGTCATCTTGGGGGCAAAAGTGAGGCAAACAGGTAGTGCCTGGTTGGCATTTGAGGTCAGTCATAGGAGAAAGGGTGGGAGGCCCAGGGAAGTTGAACAAACTGCCCAAGGCCACACAGTGAGACTGTGGTTGCCAGGGCTGGCTTTTCATAGGTCAGAATCTGGCTGACTGGGGGATTGAGAGGGCCATCCCTCACTACCTTGTCCCTACAGGACACTGACAGAACTTCTGAAGCAACCCGGCCCCCAGGAACCACTGCCTCCACCTTTGGGCCCACCCCTGGGTAGCTGTGTCCAGGTGCAGATGGGAGATGGCCTTCCCCGAGGGTCCCCCCACAACAGCACAGGTGAGTAGGCTGTGGGCCAGTACTGGCTAATTTGCAGGGGGCATCGGTGTGGTGGGTGTGGTCGGGAAGGGATATACAGAGGGGCAGGAGCTGGGTGCTTGACTGGGGAAGGGAGGCTCCTAGTTGCTGCTTCCCCTTGGAAACGAGCTGCCTGCCTCTGCAGGTGTGTGAGTGCTGCTGGACAGGCCAGTCACCTGCCCTTGGTGGAGAGGGACCCTCCTACAACTTAAGTCTCAGAGACTGTGATTCTGKGATGAAGGCTCCAGATTGAGGATTTGCTGGCTGGGGCTGTGGTTCTCAGGCTCTGGCTCTGTGCCCTGGGGTCTGGAGCCTCTCTCAGCCTCTCACTAGGGAGGCAGCACTTGGCAGGCCCCGCTACCCCAACTAGGTTCCATCTCTGCGGGGAGCTGGTCCTGGGACTCAGCACCTGGCTCAGGCCTAACGTGCTGGCGAGCCGTCCATTAGGGTAGCACCCTTCGGGGCTGGCTGCCATTGATGGCTTTCTGAGTCAGGCCCCGTTCCAGGAGCTGGACATTCTGCTGGGAAGGGAAGACAGGCTCCGATCGCCCGGAGAGCGATTCTCAGGGTTCTACTGAGCTGCTTTTGGGGAGGGGGTCAAGAAGCGGGGTGGCGCAGGTAGAGCGCGCGGGTTGGCGCAGAGCCTCGCCTTACTTCCCCCGCCCTTTCCCAGACAAGAAACGCCTCAACAACGCCGCCCTGGGGTCCGCCACGCCCGCGCCCCCACGCCGACCCCGGTTGCAAGGAGGCGGCAACTTTACGCTGCAGCCCGACTACTCCAAGTACGCCACGCTCAAGGCGGCAGGTGAGTGGCCCGATGCTTGCCGCGGCCGCCAGCGCCCCGGGTCCCCCGAGTTTCTTTACCGCAAGGCTCGGCTCCCGGCGCAGAGTTGCGGGGTTCCCAGCCAGTCTGGCTCGGCCAATCCGCGCTCGGGACGCCCCCATGMAGCCAATCGGCTGCCCCCTCGGCCTGTCACTGACCCCGCCCCTGGCCAGCCACGGGGCTGGGACCCCTTACGCCGGCCCGATTCCCGGGCTCCCGGAGCCCGCGCCGCGGAGCCTGACGGGTCCCGCACTGTCCCCGCAGAGGCCGCCCCCCAGGACTTCTACCAGCGTTTTCCCACCGCCGAGTCGGCCCCGCGGACCCTCCCGGCGCGGGCCCCGAGGCCTCCCGAGGACTTGCCCGCGCTGCTCGGGGCCTGCCCCTGGGCCCCCCCGGGCTACGCGGCCCCTACCGGCCCCGCTCCGCCGGGGCCCTACGCAGCCTGGACCGCCGGGCGCCCGGCCAGGCCCGCCCCCCGCGGCCACCTAGCGGCCTATGCCTCTCCCGCACCCCGGAGGCCCGGCCACGTGCCGCGGCGCCAGTTCAGCGTGGAGAAGCTGCCCGAGGCCTTCAGCGTACAGCACCCAGGCCTTTACTGTAGTGCGGGCCGCGGACCCCGGCACCTGAGCACCAACAGCAAAACCGAGGTCACCGTGTGAAGCTGGGCCACCCAACGGAGGCAGAGCCGGAAGCCCTCGACTGCTTGGTCCAGGGCCCCAGGGCACGAAGGAGCCCAACGCGGGCATCCACCGAGACTAGACTGGGGGCCTTGGAGCCTGCAGGGCTGAGAAAAGACCTACTGGTATGACCGGTGGTTCCATCCTTGGGTCCATAGGCCCCTGATTCCTCGTGTAAATAAATCCTTTAATGTGGTTCCTGCTGATGGCAGCATCAGTCATTGAATAGGCAGCAGTGCTGGCAAAGGGCGGAGCAGAGGATCACTGGTAGACTGGTGGACAGCTGTGCTGGGAGCCAGGGAGAAGTGGCTGGAGAGGGTGGCCAGGGCTGAATGCCAGGAGTAAGACCCACACCAGTCAGAGTCGTGGGAGGGAGGCAGTTACACCTCAGTCATCTTAAGTTCCGGGCACAGGGAGAGAGCTGTTGGGCTTTCTGGGGAATCTGTGCCTTTTACTGGAGGTGAGCCCCCCAGCTGGTCACCTGCTCTAACAGCTTGACTTGGCAAAACTTAGCTGATCCTCACTGACATTGTCTGGCTCTGGGCCAGCCCCTGGCCTGAGAGCTGCTTGACAAGATTGGCCTAGGGCCACTCCCGTAATGGTGGCGGGCCATGCCTACATCTGGTATTCAGGATAGAGGTGCCTTCTTCCAGGAGCTGCTCTGGGATAGATGCTGGAGCAGGAGACTGGCAGTGCCCCCCCCCTTCACAGGGCACATGCTTGGCACTGCCAGCTCTCCTCCTTCCTGCCAGGAGGGCTCCTGGTACCTGGCTGTGGCCCAGGGCGTTGCTAGCAGCCTGTGTGTATCTTTCCCAAGTTCCTTGGTGCCAGGTACTGTTGTGGGGGTAGTACTGCACTACAGCCAGTTGAGATGTGTGACATCCAGTGACACCCAGTTGAGTATTTCCCTCCTGTGTACCCCGGGGGGTATACTGTTTGAGCCCCATGGGGGTGTATTTTTACAGACAAGGAAATTGAGGTCTTGGGACCTAAATAACTTGCCTGGGGTTACTAGGCTGACTCCCAGGTTAGGTTCCTCCCATGTTGGTTTGCCGAGGTGGTCTGCTGGTGGGAAGGCAAGTGCAGGCAGTGTGGGGAACATGTGTATTGGAGGTGAGGGGCGCCTGCCCGAGGGCATGGGAGGCCTGGTCTTAGGCCCCCACCTATTGGAAGCTGTTGAAGAAATCAAGGCCTAGAAGTTCCAGGACAGAGTCCAGAGCCCATGGTCCTGCCAGCAGTAAGGATCTCCAGGCCTGTCGGGGGAGACTTGGGGTAGGGAGACAGGGGGCTAGGGTACTCCATCCCACAGCTGTGTGTGTGTGTGGGGGGGCAGGTGCTGAGTTTTGGAACCTGCTGAGACTCACAAAAGGCTCAGGTTCCTGAGCACACAGGCCACCCACCATGGTGACACAGGCCCTGGCTGGGTGGGGCTGGGAGGCAGGCACAATCCTTCCCCCTCATTCTCAGTCTCAAGGAGCCTCTATCTCCATCCTGCTAGTCAGGCTACAGCTGTTGGCAGTGACCACTACTGGATATGCTGACCCTGTAACTCTGGACAGGACCTGCTGCAGCTGGACCCTCCTGGCTGCTGTACTCCTTTAGACAGTGTGGCCTGCTGCGACTGCCCTTCAGGAAAGGGTATGGCTCATAGCTGTTTCTTAGGTCAGGGGAACAGGGCCCAGCTTTGGACTGCAGTTAAGCTCCAGGCTCATTTCCACGACTTCCCTGACTCCACCTTCAAGATCCAATCCATCCATCCCAATGCTTCTCGTGGCCTTGGCCCTGGCCTCTCACTGGTCTGGCACAAGGTATGATGTGTTACATCATTCGAACCTGGCCCACAAGCTTATGGGACTACTGAAGGCAGGGATGGGCAACCCTTTTCTCTACCCATGGAAGTGGGGGTTGAGAGGCCAGTTCCCTCCTTAGGTGGATCCACTACTGGACCCAGCTGAGAAGTGCAGGAGCTGGACTCAGGTCTGACTTGCAGGCCAGTGAGCCATTTCAGAGGGCCACTGCCTTCAGGGAAGGGCAAACAAAGGAGGGGCCTATCCATTGGGAACCTCCCGCCTCCAGGTCCCAAAGAACTGTTGTCAGCCAACCCAGCTGTACATCCAGGGTACCTGGATACAGTGACCCCAGCAATACTTCCCAGAACCCTTTAATCCCAGGCCTTGGACCATTCTTAGAGCATATACCAGGCTCTGGAAGAAAGGGGACAGGCATGCTGGCAGGCAAGGAAGGTCTTCGACTGGAGATGGCAAGCTGGCCTTCTTCCCTGGCCCACTGTCAGCGGAGCCATGCAGCCAATTGGCAGTCATTAAGCAGTCACACTACAGACCCTCATACACCTTGTGCTAGGTGGTACCAATCTGTGTTTATTGAATAACCTAGGTCCAGGACATGGTGAGTGATTTGACATCAAGGAAGCCATAGGTGTATCCCCCTTTTCAGTGAAAAACAAACCCCTCCCACCCCTAACAATGAGAAAAGGCACAGTATATACACATGACACAAAGGCCCAGCTGCCCAAGTGGGCAGGGTCCATAAATTATAGTGACAGTGGGGGAAGGGCAGGAGATAGAAAGGGGGCTGGGGTCCAAGCATATGAGGGGCCCTGCTGTGTGCACTCCCTAGCTGTGTTGGGGCTCCTGCCTATCCTGCCCCAACCAGCTTGAAGGGATGAGAAGCAAGGGAGGGGTCCGCTCAGTCTCTCAGGAGGCCCTGGGGAAATAGTGTCTCCAGGGACACCCTAAGCCAGGGGATCTAGAAAAGGACTTTTCCTCCTAGGAGTCCCATCAAGGCAAGGAACCTTGTTCCTAACACCCACCCCCAAAAGAGGAGCTTGCCACTGGGGCTTGGGGCTGGTCCCTGCCACCCTGACTTATTTTCAAGACAAGAATTAGGGATAAAAATATACTATGGAGGTAGGAGTTAGGGTGGGGGTAGGAAGGAACTAAGGAATCATGTTGAAGACCCCTGGTCCCCAGGCCTAACAGGCGGCTTTGTCCCTTCCAGTCCTCTGGGCCCACCCTGAGCTTGGGCTGGCATCCCAGGGGGTAAGGGAGTGGGAAGGAACAGGACAATTAAATAAGATACCATTTATTTTTTAAAAAATTAAAAAATAATGCCAACATTATTTCATCCATCCCCAGGCCAACCCCTGCCTCCCACCCACCTCCCCAAGGCTGGGTTCCCCTCCTTCCCTGGCTGTCCCGCATAATGACGAGAAAACAATGAACTGGCTTAGTCAGGCACAGGGGAGGGAATGCAAACCCAGGGAAAGAAATAAAAGATGCCACAGCAACTTTGCCCTGCATCACGGCAGCCCCAAGCACAAAGATATAAAAACATTCGTATAAAAAGGGGGAGGGGCATGCTGGGCACTATGCTGAGGGCAAAGTGCTCTCTGGTGCCCAGAGACCTCGTCCCCTAGAGAGAAAGCCTGATAAAAAACAAGGAAGCAGAAAGGGGAGATGTTCGGAGTCTTGGGACTGGAGGCGTGGGTTTGGCAGTGTCCCCTGCTGCTTTCAACTGAAGGGACACCCCCATTTCTGCCTCACAGCCTCTCCTCTCAGCCAGCTAGGGCCTGGACCACAGGTGTCTACTGACAGCAGCCCAGGGGCTCTCTGGCCTGAGGTGGTCCAAAAGCCTCAGCAGGTAGACAGCTCAGAGGACAAGGCTCACCTCCAGCTCAGAGGGAGGAGGGCAAAGGACAGAGGGAAGAGGAAGACAGGGCCTGAGAGAGAGGATGAGCCTGGGAGAAAGAGACTGAGAGAAGTGGAGGGAGGTGGGCTGAGCCTGTGGTCAGGAGGCGGCAATGGCAGTGCCGCCTCCCAGCTTGACAATCATCTGCTGGCAGTCACTGCAGGAGCGCCGGTCGCCCACCTTCTCCAGCGTGCGGGCAGCCTCAGCCAGCAGCACAGCCCGCTGGCCCGGGGAGGAGAGGAAGGAGAGAGGAAGGTGGCGGCAAGCCAGAAGGATGGCGGTAGCCCGCTCTCGCTGGCCAGGCCAGGCGTCCACCTCTCCTGTGGGAACGAGGAGAACATGTAGGTGCTGTTCAGGGGATTTCCGCACTCACTGATTGGAACCCCATGCTCATGTGAGGTGAGCACGCTCCCTAGCTCACACATGGGGAGTTAACCTGCCTGGTGCTGTAAAGCTAAGGCCTGTGGGGACAGAACCTGTGGTCTCCCACCCCTGCTCCTGTGCTGGAACTCCATGCCCAGCCTCCCTCAAGGGCGGGCCCACTCAACTACTGCCCATGCCCCCAGCACATCCAGTCCATTCTGGGGATCCTTTCATTCTCACACCACTGATGGGGCTCAGAGGTGTCAGAGTGCACCCTGCCAGGTGCTGGAACTGGGCTGGGCTGGGCTGCCCCCCCCAAGACTCACCATGCTTGGTGTTCTGAGTGGTGCGCCGCCGCAGGCTGTGCTCCAGCAGCTGGTGGGTGCGGGTAGGGCTGGCTCCTGCCATTAAGCGCACAGTGGCTTCATGCAGGAACACCTGGAGAGTAAGGAGGGACACACAGTCAAGCCCTGGGTTCTTGCTTCTCCAGGCCCTAGTGGACACCTCTCCCTGAGCCATTTCATCTGGCACCTGATGATCTTTCCCTCTCCTCTCCATGCCACCCTATTTTGCTCACCCCTGAAAGCAACCTCTCTTGTCCCCAAGCTAAATCAGAAACTTGGATGAACAGCAGGAAAGAGGAACAGAGCAAAAGCAAAAGTAGGAATAAGAGATAAGCAAGAGGAACAGTGCCCGGACACTCCCTCTGGGGCTCTAAGAACAAGTAGCCTGGGTGAAGCCTCAAGGTCCCCAGATGCTGCCTCCAGCCTGACAGACAAAAGGACAAGGCAGGTGGGGATGGAAGGGGTGAAGGGGACAGCTGAGCTGGTAGCAAGTTTGTGTCCTGTTTCCTTCTATTTCTTCAGAAAGGAAGAGACCAGAGATTTCCAGGTATAAGTTTGCATCACTTAGATAAATAGGAACACTACACAAGGAGGGCAAGTCTAGGTCTCTGATTTCTTTCATTCTTTTTGAACACACAGTATCTTTATTATTTATTTAATGTGTGCTGAGGATCGAACCTGTGCCTCACACATGC